ATCCGATACGCAGATACATCTTAGATAGCTCAACAATATTTATCTAGTCCATACATATATATATCCACACTAAGGGACATTCACTGGACTACAGTAGGGGTCTCAACCTGAATAGAAGGCAACATGCGAAAACGCACCCAAAGGTGGGCATGAGCACCTAGACCTAACAGGGTACACCTTAACCTACTTTAACCAGCTACGCATCCACTGCATATACTCACCCTAACCAACGAGTCTGAGACTCAAGTTCATCTCGTGGTACCATAAACATATATATAAAGTCCGTCCAAAACCAGTGTATGTTATTCAAATACTTATTGAGATGACATACAATATACAAACTAGTTCGTCACTCAACTTATTCAGTTGATATGACTTAACTACCATCCATTAATCCAGGAAGCCATTCAACTTAGTCGCAGTTGATCTGACTCAATCACAATATGGATTCAATATTTTTCAATCCATCATTTAATCCATTAGGGTAGGTTTAAGCGTTTTGAGCTAAACCGTCCCTAGTATGTCACCGTCCCATACCGGTGCATACAATCCTCCATATCCATGTAAATTACAAAGCATAATAATAAGCTAGTAATTTATAATCCAAACCATTATCCATATCATTGCAGGAAAGTATTTAAAATTTCAACAATATAAATCCCAGCATTAATTCCTGTAATTGCACTAGAGAATTTGATATTCCAACAATTAACATCCAGAGCATGCATAGTTCAAACCTTAAACATAAAATGATCTATCATGCATCCAATATAAGATTTATAATCTTATTATAATCCATTATGTTGCCCCAAAATTAAGCTAAGCAATTTGGTTCTTTCCATCCATTATCAGTATGCTAAGTTGTATGCTTTTATACTGATTCATCCTTTAAATAATTTATAAAAATTTATTTACATATCTGTATTCCAAATTTCCTAAGCATAAGAAGTGTATTATGCATTTTAGAACCACCTAAAGTCCATTTAACCCATTTAGATTACTTAAAATAGGTTCCAAAACAATTATGGGCAATTAAAACTAAGTTCCAGGTCGCGGCCCAACTTAGTCGGCTCAATTGCCAACTGAGCAGGCTAAGTTCCTAACTTAGTCGGCTAAGTTGCTAACTTAGTCGGCTCAGTTTCCAACTGAGTCGGCTAAGTTACCAACTTAGTCGGCTCAGTTCCCAACTGAGTCGGCTAAGTTGATGCTGAAGCCGTCTTCTTTATCCGTTCAGCCCCTATAAGCCCCAGAACTCCATTGTTAAGGCCTCTAAGCTTCAACCTACGTCCCATACGTCCATACTAAATTATTTGAAGTATTTTAACATGCAAAGATTTATCTTAAACAACAATCATGCATCAAAACTTCCACAACCATTCAAAATAAGAAACTGACATATACCCTCTATTTTAATCCAGTTAAGCATGCATGATTAAATCAGTTTTAGCATGTATTTAAATCCCTGGAGTTTAGCTAGGCATGCACAGAACACGAATTAAAGGGAAAGAGCAAGAACAGAAACTTGCCTTCGAGACTTTGGTTTTAAATCTCTAACTGTCATCTCTGAATTTCCAACTTTGTTCCATAACTCTGTTACTCTTGGCTAACCCAGAAGCAACCCCGTTCCTTCCTCCTTGAACTTCTCTGTAAGCTCTCAAGTTTTCACTAGCTGTTTTCTCAAAATTTCACAACTCTCTGTATTTCTCGGCTATGTGAAAAGGATTAACAAAACCCTTGGCAGACATATACTTATGTATTTATAGGTTTTATTTGAAACCCTAAATTAAATCCTAAACCAACTACAAGTCAGCTCAACGTAAAACCTAAAAGAAAACTAAACCCTAATAATGAAGCAGCTAAAATTACTTTATTATGATTTTGCAAATATGGTCAAAACCCAATTTTCACGATCCATTAAAATCTTCTGCGCTGATAATGCTATGGAGTACAATGAAACAAATTTTCTAAAATTTCTTCGACAACATGGCACAATCTCTCATTCCTCTTGTCCTGGCACAGCTCAACAAAATGGGCCGGTTGAACGTAAGCATCGACATATCTTAGACACTGTCCGTTCTCTCCTAATATCTAGTTCTTGTCCTGAGCATTTTTGGGGGGAAGCAGCTCTCACTGCTGTTTACACGATCAACCGTGTTCCAATGCTTATTATTGGCAATCAATCTCCCTATGAACGTTTATATGGCATAATTCCGGCTTATAATCTTCTCAAGGTTTTTGGATGTGCTTGTTTTGTCTTACTTCAGCCTCATGAACGTACCAAATTAGAACCTCGTGCTCGACTGTGCTGTTTTCTAGGTTATGGAATTAAACACAAAGGATATAGATGTTGGGATCCCATTTCCAAAGGTCTTCGTATTTCTCGTCATGTCATCTTTTGGGAACACAAAATATTCTTTTCTCTAGCTAAATTCCATCTATCTTTATCTTCTATTCCTTTCTTCTTTACCGATTCTTCCGTCGCACTCTTCCCAGATGACACAAATTTAATATCTTCATCTGAGAATTCAAACACTACTCCAGACACACCATCACCATCCGAGATCCCACAAATGCCCTTACCTGATGAATCTGTTTCATCTGAGATCCCAAGCATTACTCCAGATCCAATGGCTTTATCTGAGCTCCTACAAATGGCCTTACCTGATGAATCTATATTTTCTGATGATCCTACCATTGGCTCTTTTCCATCAAATATCATCACCACTATTAAACCTTCCCGACAATCTGATCGGGTGAGAAAACCTCCTAGTCATTTACGTGATTTTCAGTGTTTCTCCACTATCATGTCTCATCATGAGCCTCAATCATACCGTGAGGCTAGTTTTAGCCCCCTTTGGCAGCAAGCTATGGCAGAAGAATTACAGGCTCTCGCACAAGCTTATACATGGGACATGGTTGCTCTTCCTTCTGATAAAACTGTTGTTGGCTGTAAATGGGTTTACAAAATAAAAACTCGTTCTGATGGTTCAGTCGAACGATACAAAGGTCGTCTAGTTACAAAGGGTTTCAACCAAGAATATGGCATTGACTATGAGGAAACATTTGCCCCTGTTGCTCGCCTTACTTCAGTTTGTAGCCTACTGGCTGTTGCAGCAGCCCGCAAGTGGACATTGTTTCAAATGGATGTGAAAAATGCCTTTCTCAATGGTGATCTTATTGAAGAAGTATATATGAAACCTCCTCCAGGATATGATCATTCTCCACACCAAGTTTGTAAACTTCGTCGCGCTCTATATGGTCTTAAACAAGCTCCAAGGGCTTGGTTTGCAAAATTTAGTTCCACTATTGGAGATTTTGGTTTTACTTCAAGCTCATATGATTCTAGTCTTTTTATCCTCAAGACTAACTCTGGAATTACTCTTCTTTTACTTTATGTTGATGATATGATAATCACTGGAAATGATCTTGCAGGTATCTCTGCACTAAAAAATTTCCTTAGTCATCACTTTGATATGAAGGATCTTGGGCGCCTCAGTTATTTCCTAGGCTTGGAGATGCTCTCTAATTCAGATGGTTATTATCTCTCCCAAGCCAAGTATTGCTCTGACATTATTGCTCGTGCTAGACTCACAGATTGCAAGACCGCTCCCACTCCCATTGAAACCAATGTCAAGCTCACTCCTCTAGATGGTACACTCCTCAGTAGTGCTACATTATATCGACAGTTGGTTGGCAGTTTGGTATATTTTACTGTTACTCGACCTGACATCGCTTATGCCATGCATCTTGTCAGCCAGTTCTTATCTGCACCTCGATCTACCCACTATACTGCTGTACTACGCATCATTCGATACATTAAAGGGACTATGTTTCAGGGTCTTCACTTTTCTTCTCACTCTTCACTTGAGTTACGTGCCTACTCTAATGTTGATTGGGCAGGTGATCCAACTGACTGACGTTCCACTACTGGCTATTGCTTCTTTCTTGGGAACTCTCTCATTTCTTGGCGTAGCAAAAAGCAATCTGTTGTCTCCAGGTCCAGTACAGAGGGCGAATATCTTGCCCTTGCTGATTCCAGACAAGAACTTATTTGGCTTCGATGGCTCTTAACAGATATGGGTATTTCTCACTCTACTGGCACAGTTCTCTATTGTGATAATCGGAGTGCTATTTACATTGCTCATAATGATGTCTTCCATGAACGCACCAAACATATTGAAATTGATTGCCATATTGTGCGTCAACATGTTGCTCGGGATACTGTACGTCTTCATTCTGTAACTTCCGCTGATCAGACCGCTGACATTTTTACTAAAGCTCATCCGCCAGGCAGATTTCGGGAATTAATTTCCAAACTCAAGTTGGTTTCTACTCTACCACCTTGAGTTTGAGGGAGGATATTAACATAATTAGATTATAGCCGTTGTATAGATTGTTATCATAGTTAGATTATATTATATCCGTTGTATAGATTGTTGCCATGATCATTGTATAGCCGTTGGTGATCTCTCACCTATTTATACCTCTCATTGTACATGATTTATTTACACTTGATTATACAGAACATATTCAACATATATCTCTGTCACTCTCTTATATTCAACAGATCCGATGTTGGCATCATGTTCAACATTTGGTGCTCACATTTTGTAGGGGCTTTGGCCTTGTCTTGGTACGGGCATCACACTATACATTATTTATCTTCAATATTATTTGTGAATTAAAGTTTATTATATGGACATTTAATATAGTACAAAGATAATATATTAATATATATAAAAAAATACTATTAAAAATGATTTTAAATTATTCAAAAATAAAAGATAATAATGTGTCAAAGTTTTCTAGGTGACCAACAAACATGATACAGTGAGAGTATATTTGTACTCCCGACCAAAAAAAAAAAAATCCTATTAACATATATATTAGTAATTATATATATATATATATATATTATAATACCGGTCCGGTTCAATATATATATATATATCTATTATAATACCGGTCCGGTTCAATTCCCGTTAGGTTCTTCGGTTCAGTTCTGACTTGCCATCGATTCTCAGGTTCCACACCCCTAATACTCATAAGCTCATCTGACGAGGAGCTACGGACTTGTATTATTTTCCATTCTACTCATGAAACCTCCACACAAAGCCACCATTTTCATTGGCCTCATCCCTTTAGAGTTATGACATTGGTTACTTCACGAACCCAATGATTCTTTACGGCTTTATTACTCTACAACTAAGTCTCGATTTTGTGCTTTACTTCTTTACATCAATCTGTCACGAACCACACAGATTGCAAATGAGGAATTTGATAAGACTACTTAATATTCAACGTATAAAGCATTGCATCCAGTTACCCATATATATATATATATATCAAAGAAAGTTGTTGTCTTGTTCCTGTTCTTCTCTACAAAATTTATCGATATTCGTTCTTACTCTGTCTTTTGAAGCCATACAGTCTACGATTCGCTCGTCCCAAGAACCCAAGGTTCGTTTCTCAAATCACAATTTCAAATTATTGAACCGTTGTGTGCTTCTCTGCAATACTGTCTGTTGTGTTTTTTGGAAATAATTTGATTTGATTTGATTTTATTTGATTTGATTTTATTTATTTTATTTATTTATTTTTTTGTCAATTGCTTTGAGTTTGTGATGGTACAATGTGCTCATCAAGTGTATTTATATGTTCCGGAAGTGAAAATATGTTGTGAATGTTGTGATATAACAATTAGGGTTTCTTAAGATAAAAAAGTAGTTGTTTTTGTTCTACTTTGGTTTGATAGATTATTTGATGGGGAATAAGTTGAGTCGGAGGAGACGAGTAGTCGACGAGAAGTATACAAGACCACAAGGTTTGTACCAACAAAAGGATGTAGATCATAAGAAGCTTAGGAAGCTCATACTCAACTCTAAACTCGCCCCATGCTATCCGGGAGACGAAGAATGTGCTTGTGATTTGGAAGAATGCCCCATTTGCTTCTTGGTATGTGCTTTTAATTCAAGTGTTTTTGTTTTTCGAAATTGGCCTGTTTATGAGACATCTAGGGAATGTAAAGAGACATTTAAGGCATTTGGTTAACTGAGATTGGGCTAAATTATTGCATGGGATACAATTGAGTTGATTGGTGTATTTTGGAACCACAAATGATATTTAGTACGAGGTTTGTAGTTGAATTCTCAGGTCTTCCTTCAGCATTTTCAATTAATGCACGATACACAATTGAGTTGATTCATAACAGTGGAAAATTAAGTTTTTGATACGATTTCATCTTCTTTTGCTTTTACAATTGGACCACCTCTTGCTTTGAACGGCATTTCAATTTTGTTTTTTATTTTTTATTTTTTATTTTTTATTTGTAGCAATATAGAAGTTTCTAATTTTTTTTTGGGTATAAATTCTTTTAGTATTATCCAAGTCTCAATCGCTCCAGATGTTGCATGAAAGGCATTTGCACAGGTATATGTTATGAACATTTCTCCTGTGATTAATGCAGTTATTAATATTTGGATGCCTATTGATTTTTTCTGTTTGCAACAGAGTGTTTTCTGCAACTGAAGACCCCAAATCCAACTCGTCCTGCACAGTATCCTTTATTTATGCAAACCATTCCGCCATGTTGCATATTTCACCTACCTTTTGTGGTTACTATTGGGATTGCTACCTTTAAGCTTTTTGTTCTATGCTTGTTTTCCTTAATAGTGCAAGGTGTCCCTTCTGTAAAAGCTTGAATTATGGTATTGAATATCGGGGGATGAAAACAAAGGAGGAAAAAGGTTTCGAGCAAATTGTAAGGTTTTCTTTCTCAGAGAATAATTTTTTTTAATTCATTTATTTTTCCTTTAGGAATTAGCACCTTCAATTTAGAGAATCAAATTTGCAATTGGTTCACATTTTTCATGTGTTTAGGAAGATCAAAGGGTTATAGAAGTAAAAATAAGGATGCAGCAGCAGGAACTTCAAGAGCAAGAAGATAGAAAGCATAAAAGACATGAGATAAGTTCTTCAAGCAGAATTATTGAACCAGGAAAGGTTGAATGTCGCCCATTAACAGGTATATTCTTTTAAAATTATTGGTTCAATATCTATATATATATATGCTTTTTTATTTGATATGATGATCACAATTATGTACCTTTTCTTGTATGGTTTCTGATTGATGCATTACATTTTCTTTCATCTGCATTGTCGTGTTCTATATCTTTTGTAGAAAGTGAGGAATTTGTTTCTTCTCAATACTCACCTGCTGCTTCAACAACCAGACAACCTCTACACTCTAGGAATAACAGGTATATTATTGTATACATAATTATTCAGTTAATTTCCTACAATTCAAAAATGATAATATCTGTTTTTCTGTTTTGTGAATTTTCTGAATTTTTATTTATTTTGTGGAACTGAGAGAGTAAAAATGATAATATCTGTTTCTGCTCTTAAACTGAATTGCTCTCCTTTTGTATCTTGATTTTGTTATTTATAATGCTGAAATTGTTTTCAAGATAGATATCATCAGATTTTCTACTTGTATTCAGTCTGTCAATATGACTTCCTTACCTTTATGTTGTGTGTAATAAACAAAGATAATCACCGTTATGTTATAGTTGAACAAAGATATTTTCTTAGTGAACAATGAACATTTGTAGGGACTATCTAAATACATCTTAGATAGAATTCATATGAAACAATATTTTCTATTGTAGGATTCTATCCTGTTGCATGGGTGTTTTGAGGCAGTTACATACTTACACTACTTTTCAAGTTATAGTCCAAAACTTGTGTTGCACCGGTTATCTTTTGGTGTATTTTTGCATTTTATTAATGTGATTACAGTTATCTCGTGGTTTGACATATGAGAAGATCTTTGAATGGATGTAACTTCATTTATATATTATGAGTTTACTGGAGTTTGGGGCGGTTTTCAGAAAATACCAGTTGTATGGATACATCAGGAATAATTTGTAACCTGAAAAGATATGTCAACAACCTTACATTCAACTACAAAAGGAATTCAAATGTGTTTCCTTACAAGCTCTATTCCGATGGTTCAGCAATTTATTACAAAATATTTATGGCATCCAGTATTAGTCCTGTTTTATTTGAAGAGTTTCCTGCCTGACTGTTTATTGAATGTCAGTCGTTATGTTATCAATTTTAAATCCTTACATGGGGAAGTTGGAGTCATTTCAAATCGAGCTGGAAGTATCCGTCTTTCAGCATGGTTCAGAAGTACTACATGTACCATAGTCGACCAGTGTTACACCGCAATGCACCACCACAAGAAAAATTATGAGTTGATGAGTACCTTCTAGTCATCATCTCATTGCTCCCTTGCTTACAATAGATTAGATTAGGGGCATTATCCAGTACTGGTCTTGCTACAGCAAGGTCCTGGGAAGGAAGATTCGAGACAAACATAACTTTTGATATTTCACAAAGTGGATGCGCTGGGGCTCAAACTCACACCATTGGCAGTGTTGTTAAACCACGAACAATAGATTAGATGGCCCACCATAAGTCTTCTTGAAGGAGATGTGTTGTGAAAAGAGCTATTTGGGCATGAGAGGGATAGGATGTGTGCTGTCTGGCTAAAAAATTACCTAGTGAAAGACTATATTGGTACATGTTATCTTATGAACTGAAGTATGACCATGGACAAACTTATAAATAAATGCAAAAAATTTCATTTACCAATTGACAAATATTTTAGGACGTGTGCGGATACCTCTGTAGGTGCAGTTTTTGAAGTATTAGAATAAAGCTGGAATTCGTGAATTCTCGTAATGTGATTACATTAATTACATGAATCGATACTTTTGGTATTCTTTTTGGCACATTCCAAATTCTGTCCTCACATAGCGTAATTTAGCATGATCTATTTTTGGATATGCCTCCAACTAAGGTGAACCTATGTTACAGACACGCTTCTTAACTTGCGTCTTGTTTGGCAAATGCAATCAACTTGGTCCTAATAAGTAATAAGATGATTCTTATGCCATGTTAGTATTCTTGATCTTGATGCGGACTTCATGTGCAGGGACGATGAACTTGACCTGGGTCTTGAGGATATAATGGTTATGGAAGCCATCTGGCTGTCTATTCAGGTATTGTTTAAATCAATTTATTGTCTGTCATTGAGAATACATCCAGTTAAAATGGGAGCTTTTGAGCTTAAAATAGTTACAGCAAATCATGAATTCTCTTATTGTTCTTCCAGAATGAATTAAGCTGCATTCAGACTTTCTTATTTTATTAACAAAATGATCTTAGTTCCTATCTCTACGTATGAGGTTGAAAAATCTGAGCGTTGCTTCCATTTGTTATATTTTTCTAAGTATGACCCATGCTGTTTTGCAAAATTGTTGCCAGGAGAATGGCCGACAGAAAAGTCCAGCCTACGGTGAAGCTGCTCGATTAGAACAATACATAACAGAAGATTGTTGTGGCTTAGCAGTCATGTCGCCGCTGGCTGAAACATCATCACCTCCATCTGATGGTCTGGCTTGTGCAATTGCTGCACTTGGTGAGCGCCAGCAAATGGGCAGAGAATCCTCTAGTAAATATAATGGAAACATATCGGCATTCAGCTTGCTTCCTTGTGGCAGGTTTTCCAATATAGAGGAGCAAGTGACGGAGAATCATCCTCCTGCAGGGAGCTTAATTGAGGCCTCACCCTATAGTTCAATGGCAATGGCTGTGGATGGCAGAGAATGGGGGTTGAATCATGGATTGGAGGTGGCTGAAGAAGGGACCATCTATGCTAGTTCCGATGCAGTAGAAGATGAAATTAGGGTCTCACCTGATAGTAGGATTGCTGCATTGCCACCATAAGATGATATTGAGGGTGGCTTTCAGACTGTTGTTGGGACCATTAGTCCAGAGAGATTCAAGGAGCAGATGATGTTGGCTATGGCCATTTCAGTAGCTGAGGCTTGAGCAAGGAGAAGTGCACTGGTAGACTGGTAGTTGCATGGCAGTATGGCACTGGTTTATGAGCTCAAGGTAGTAATGACTCTCTATCTACAGAAGTAAATGGAAACAGCTTTTTTAGTGAACGAAAAGTGGTGGGTTATGCCATTTGCAACACACAGTTCTCAGAACAAATGGTATTGCAAAACCATGAAAATAAAATCATTTCATGGCGCTTTCTATGGAAATTTATGGCATACATCCACCATCTAGGGTCAGTTTTATGATGTATTTAGCATTTCTTTGTCAAATTTTACAATTCGATTGTGGTCTGAAGTCCAATGAAAAAGCTTAATGTGATCAACTTTGTAAACAATGTTCAATTATAAAAATAAAAAAAAAGGAACTTTGTAAACTATGCAAGGACATTACCTGTCCTGCTCTTATTATTGCATACCAGATAACAAAAATCACATACACAAACCTTTTGGTGTTTAAAAGTGGCACATATAACAAGTTGAGGTGCTTTCTGTGATGAAAATTTGCATGTCAACAAGGGGCATGGTCAGCTGGAAGTGTTTCTTGATGATGATTATCAGAAATGCCACAGAAAGCTCATCTTGGGTTTCATCCGACTCGTTTTTTTTTTGGCATTGCCCGCTAAATGAAGGACATTTTCCTCCCTTAACTTTTATTTTTTCTCTTTTGGATACTAAAAAACTAATCATGTATATTTCTTAGACAATCATTTCAGGGAGACTAGACTGTGAGCTGGCATTCGACACCCTTGGTGGGCCGAAGCCGATTGTTTTAAGAAAAGACAGCTGCATATTCACACCTAAAAGTTTACAAGACATCGTTCTTCATCACTGAGATAATGTGGTGATTGATGATCAGGTTAGCAACATCTTTCACAAATTTGGCCTGGCTAAAAAACTAGGCAGGGACTTAAAAATTCATTCCCAAACCTGACCCGGCACTGAGCCTATATGTCATACCTAGTGTGTATGGAAAATGTCTTCCAAGCAAAGCAAAAGGAGGAAGAAAGAAAAGGCCAATAGGGATGCTTAAGATTTGGTATTATGGAGTATCATTTTGTGTTAGATTACATCGGAACTGTTAATATGTTGGAAGGACAATGCTCAATCCAAAATTAAATCTAATTAAACTGACTTTTTATTGCAAATTATATTGTGAATGAGACAAAATTTTAGGCATATTTGGTTTGTAACTCTGAAAACTGTTATCAGAAATTCAGAAAACATAGTACAGTTTTCAGATAACTATAAAAAACTGTTATCTTAAAACAGATATTTTTTTAATTGAGTTTTAAAAAAACTAAACCAAACCGAATTTTTTGTACCTTTTTCGTTTCTAATTTTTCGAGAACATAAAACTATTTCCAAGACTTTAATCTCTTCATTTTAATTTTTTGTTTAAATTTCATGTGATATCATTAATAACCAGATCAAAGTGAAAGTGCGTATAGTCAAATTTAAAAAGTTGTGAATCCATTATCGCCCCAAGGATAGTGAATGTGCACATCAACAATTCAACTTTGAGGTGAATTAATTAATTGTCACTCAAGGTGAAAGTGAATAATCAAGTGATTGGGGTTCCAAAGTAATAACATTTTGTCCCCTAAATGAAATGGGTGGGGCCACCTAATTAATATGGATATCCATACAGTGATCTTGTGCATTGTTTAGAAGGGATGGGATTCATGAAATTGGGTTGTTGCAGTAGTTGAAGAAACATTTAAGCTCCACATGGAATGTCTCTCTCTCTTAAAACATAGGGGTGGGTTCACATGCATTGTCATGAATATTATGGACTTGTGGTCTCACTGCCACCCTAGCTAGCCCATTCTTTTCATTCAATGACCATAATCTTTAATTAATCTAATGAGCACACAAATTATATTTTTAGAAGTAGTGATACTCACACCAAACACTTACAGTGTATCATCTAATCGAATAATTTTTAATTGACTATTTATATCAAATACAACTAAGTAGAAGACTCAATTTCTTTATTTGTTACATAATTGACCAATTAAAAGATCAGGTCTAGCAATTCACTGCAACTATTCAGTAAAAGAATCATTTTCCTATTCTTAGTTGGTCCTCTAATCAATCAATAGTAATTCTAATCTCAATAGTTAATAGAAAGTCAATTCTATAAAATTCTTTGAGTCGGATTAATTCGACTGTTCCTATGAGTGAGAATAATGTCGCTTCGACTATCAAACTAATCATCAATATACTAGCAAAAAGTAAGAAGGGTAAGCTTCAATTTGAGGGGTAGATTGAATTGTGTTTTTGTGTACAGTAAATAACATTTAGAGAAGGAGTAATCTAATTGTCAAACTGGTCCACTTGTACAGAGAAAACATGCAAGTCCAACAGATGTTCACCTAGAGGTTTGTCTATTATTTTTTTCCTTAAGGAATATTTGCTATCTTCATTAAATGTTTGGTGTGTACAAATTAAATCATAGATAAAAGTGGATAATTAAATGACTGGATAAAATAAGCATTGCACTATTAATTAGGACAAAAACAAGAGCCAACAGTTGCTAGGTCAAGTGGATTGATAACCTTCATTGAATTTGACAAAAATGAGTCAAATTGAGTTTGATTATGAAACATCATCACACGTGCAATAATGACTTTTCTGAATTATTATTAATAATATGAGCTTTAGGTTCCATTATGTTTTAGTATAAAAATTAAGTTGCGATTTCAATTAATAGAATTTAATAAGGACACACTTTGTCAATGAACTGTAAAAATGAATTTTCTCTCATTAAAAATCTTTATTAACTAACTACAATGACACTCTTTAAGATTTAGTTAATTAACAACCATGTATAAGTTAACTTTTAACAACCATGTATAAGTTAACTTTTGTTTTTTTACGATGACACCCCTGATTAGATATGGATCCAAACACAGCCTAAAATAGAGTAAAATGTCTTATTTTCCCTCCAATAAAAATATTCATTTTTCATTTAAAATATCAATTATTTTAATTGACGAAACTACCCTTTAGCGATTTGAATAGCGTGTGGCTTTTACACGTGTCCACCAACTGCCCCCAAGGCCATAACCCTTTCATCTCTCACCAACTCTGCAATACCGTCGCTTGAGAGTAATCGGAGCAAATCGTCGTCTGGTTGGTGTTGAAAATGAGCACTAGCGCGTATGATGAGGAGATCGAGATCAATCAATGTCTGGGATACCGTTGATATTCGGCGTTGGAGGTTTCAGATCGTCATCCTCGAAGGGAAGGGGATGACACTATGCAGTCAAATCGCTCCTTTTTAGCCCCAACCCATTGCCGGAAGAAGCCTCACGCGCTGTCAGATGGGCCTTTACGCGTTATCGGAAGGGGCCTCACGCGCCCCCACATGGAGGTTGCCGACTATGGGGATGGTAGCGGTGGTTTTCGGCTATGGGGATGACGACGGTGGTTGTGGGTAGGGATGGCGGCGGTGGTTATCGGTTATGGGGTGGCGGCGGTGGTTATTGGTAGGGATGGCGATGGTGGTTGTGTAGTGGGGTGGCGGTGATGACGTCGACAAATATTGTGGTGGTGTTGGTGGTTGTTCATCCTTGGGAAATATGCGTTTGCTGTTGATGGTTGTGCGGCTGGATGGTGGTGGCGAGTTTTGTTGGGGAGATGTGGTGGTTTGTTGGCCAGATTTGATCTCCAGCGCGGCGGTAGCGACATGGTCCCTGCAATGCATTTTAGAGAGAAATTGCATGATAGGACAGAGGAGGCAGGCCGAGGATCCCTTACCTAGTGGGCATTTGTTTACGAAATTACTTGAATACCCATTTGTTTTTACTAAGTAGAGAGGTTGTATTGAGGCTATTTTTGTCCCAAAAAAAAGTGACGGGACAAAATATCTATATGTATATATATAGAAATGCATACATGTTTATTTAGGTTTGAGATTAAATAGAAGGTTAAAAAGGTAATTTTATATTTTAAATAAATTAATTTATAAGTTAAAGAATAATAATGTCAATTAATCACGTGTCAGTTGTGATATGGGTGCTTTTGTTAAATTTATTAAAACTGAGGGGATGCCATTGTTCAAAAAAAGACTAATTTATATATGGCTATCAATAAGCTAAACCTCAAGGGATGTCATTATAATTAACTCATTAATGTATTATATGATTTTAAACATGCATAGTTTTTATTGCCACAAATGAGAATCAATCTTAATGATAGCATTTCCAACTTTAAAATTTCTTCACTAGACTAAATATTTTCAAATATACAACTTTTGATTGATCATGTTTATCAAATATTTATAATAGAATAGGATATTATTTTTTATATATATTTTTTGTAAATATAATAATAATAGTAATAATAATAATAATAATAATAATATTATTATTATTATTATTATGATTATTTATTTATTTTGGGAAGAAACTCACACACACCCACCATTCACGCATCCATTTTGCTCATTTAGAAACTCGAATCTTCACCATCCATTTTGGGAGGTAGAAGAGATACCACTGGGGCACAAGGCCCTTGGTTCATACATAACTAATAAAAATGAGTTGTGATTTAATGATCGAATTCGGCAATTATCAAATTCAATTTATATAAAAAGAGTGATGAATCCTATCACATAACGTTTTGATTGAATTTGGTAATTATCGAATTTGATTATTGAATAATTATTCAATCAAAGTCAAGCAGATCATTATAACTATTTGCAAGCAAAAAACACCTATGGTATGCATATAAAGTGTATAACCTCCTATACGTTTTAAAAAGTCCCTAACATTTAATTTTGGATCAATTAAGGACCTGAATGCTAAAAAGACTAAAGTAGCCTTCTATAACTGAATAAAAAAAGGTAAAAAAAATAAATTAAATGTAAAATAATTAAAATGTCCCTCTTTATATATATAATATAGGGTTGCGGAAAAAAAACACCCTTATGGTATGCAAATAGAGTATATAACTCCTTATACGTTCCAAAACCTCCTTAACATTTAATTTTGGTGCAAACAATGATCTGAATGCTAAAATGGCTAAAGTATACCTCTATAACTGAATAAAAAATAGGTAAAAAAAGTAATTAAATGTGACAAGTTTATATATAAATAAGGGCATTATCGGAAGAGACTAGTATTTTTAAAATTTTAAATCTTAAAAATGTCATGTGCAATGCAAATGACTAAATTTTTAACGAAACAATGACTTCAAGCCCTTCTTTACCACATTGTTTCAAATTTAACGGACTTATATGCTCAAAATAAAATATGGAGGATTTTATTTGCCCAAAATGTAACATTAGTGGTCTTTTTCTCACTTTGCCCTTATAAGGGCATTACCGGAAGAGAAAAGGGTATTTTCAAAATTTTATATTTTAATAGTGATTTGAGCAAAAAAAATTTTTTTATTAAACTTGCATCTATAATTATGTATATCTAATTGCTAGTATTAAACATTAGAAGATAAATAATATAGTGTTCATTGTTTCATATTTGAACTTAAAATTTTAATTTTGTTTAAAATTCAAAAGATAAGATAATGTCTCAAATAACCCTATTATCTTTATCTCCCTTCCGATTTATAAAAATAACGTAATTTGATATACAGAGCAAGATAAACTTATAAAAAGTAACAATAACTCGTAGGTGAGATAATTTTGGAGGTATGTAGATTAAGCGAGGCAAAGGAAAAAGGAAAGGGAAATAAAAGAAAAAAGAGAAGCAAAGGAAAACATTTTTCCTTGTTCATTTCCCTCTAATTACCAAATTATTTTAAATATTGTAATAATAAAATTTTACTCATTTTTACAAATTTAACGAAATTATTATAACGACCCACTCCACCACGTGGTATGATATTATCTGTTTTGGGTCGAGCCCGCACGGTTTTGCTCTTTGGGCTTTACCCCAAAAGGCCTCATACTAATTGGAGTGACACACCTACATATAACCACTTCACATTTCCCTTACCCAGGTAATGTGGGACTGTGCACTCGTAGCTCGCCAGTGTGGTAGCCTGCCCGTGTCTCGCACCCGCCCACGACACACTGGCCTACAGGATCATCACAATCCACCCCCCTTGGAGGCCCGACGTGTGATACCCCACGAATCCGAGACATAGGTTGATCAGGCCGAATCCCAAATTCGAGGGAATATCAAACAATTAATATTTAAAAACGAACACAGATTATAAAAATGAATTAAGAATAAATATTAAAAACTGAAAGATCTCTAAATATAAAATCCTCCAATATTAAAGATTAATAAAATCCAAATCATTCCAAAACCTCTAATAGTTTAAACAACTCGGGAATCCATCTCTAGTGGACCCCTAATAAAAATCCAAACTGAAATGTAAATAACTGAAAGAACATCCAAAGCTAAACCACGGAGAAAAGTCCTACATCGTCAGAAGATTGAGTGATAGTCTCCGCTCAGCACGATCAAGACTACGACTGGAACTATCGAACACCTGAAAAATAGAAATGGGTCAGGCCCACGAACAAGTTCTTTCCTACTACAATCCAAGCAGAGACTCGATACGCATGTACATTCTAACCAACTCAATAATAGCTATATAATCCGTATATATATATCTCCACATTACATGACTCTCACTGGACTATGCAGGGGGTCTCAACCTAAATAGAAGACAACATGCAAAACGCACCTGAGTGGACATGAGTATCTAAGCCTAACAGGGTATACCACGACCTATCATATCTAGCTACGCATCCTACTGTATATACGCTTCCTAACCGATGATTCTGAGACTCAAGCTCAGATCGCAGTACCATAAATATATATACTTAAAGTCCATCCTATCCATCCATAATAGATCCAATTAGCCGTTCAGTTTGTTCAGCTGCACAAGCTTACATATCCATATCAAGTAATTCAGTTAGTCATTCAACTCTGTTTCGGCTGATCTAACATAAATATAAGTAGGATTTATTTTATAATCCATTCCCTTATTCCATATAGGTAGGATGTAGTATTTTGAAACTAACCCATCCCTAGTATGCCACCGTCCCATACCGGTGCATACAATCCATACATCCTATGGTTGATAACACAGATAATAAATGTAACTACCAACTAATCCACATAATCCATATTATTGATAGAACATGAATAAATGTTTATATCAATTAATTCCATACAAAGCATAATAGAATTTTGTAAAACTAACATGCTTGTCTTATTCCACTGTTACATGATTCTCGCATAATTTATAGCACATAGAATAAACATAAACATTCTTTAATCCGTGATAAGCATAATAATGATAATAAATACATTAGCATGCTTACTTGATACCACCAAAACATGATTTAGACTATAAACCATTCACAGAAAAATTGCTACAAACAAAGTCAAGCAATTTAAATAATTCACTTCCAAAACAGTATACCAAACTCTGTAAGAACTTTTATCTTGCTTAAGCTATAAACCCCAAGTGGTTCATTAACCATTATTCTTGCTCTCTGGAGCTTAAACAAGATCTTAGGTAACAACTAATTTCCCAATTACAGGCCTTTGATTACCCCAGAAAGGTCAGAAAGCAACCCCAGAAGCAACAACGTGCCAAAAATCCATCAAAAAGGGGTGGAGCCGCCTCCCCCTTGTGTGGAGCCGCCTCCACAACCCTTGGAGCCGGCTCCACCCTTGTGGGGAGCCGTTTCCTTCCCCAGTTTGCCCAGTTCACTCGTTTTCCTTCACCGATTTCATTTTCGGTGACTTCTATCACTTCCGTCCTCCATCGTCAAGGTTCTTAGGTGTCTGAACTAGGTTCCAGTATGTTCAAGAGGCAATTAAATTCTTTATACAACTACCGACATCAACTTAAACATGTATTTCGTAAAAAGAATTCAAACCAAGCAATTTAGCATTGATGATCATCTACTGTTTCAAACAACTCAACCATGCAAACAGATTAGTTTTAGTGTTTTCCCAAGGTGTTCCAGACTAATTAAACACTTTACACATCAATGGACATGAAATAAATCAAGAGTTATGCAAGAAAGAATTTAAAACAACAATATGTAACTTGAAAACATGTTCCGTTTAAAGTATCTCAGACATGCAATCCAGTTTAATTTTAATCTTTATATGTTCCTGGAATTGTATTAGACATGTAAAGAACACGAGCTAATGGGAGAAAGTTAGGTATAGAACTTGCCTTTAGGTCTCAGTTTGAAACCTTGCACCGTCGTCTTCCTAAATTCTCCAGCGATTCCTACTATAATCCTTCTCTGTTCTCTCTCTGCTTCCACAGTCGTGAATAGGGTTCTAAAACCCTAGGTAGAACCTTAATACATATATTTATAGGCCTCACTGAAAATCTTAATCCTAATCCCAAGCTAATTAAAAGTCGGCTAAAACCTCCAACGTGATCACTTAAAAGACAAATACAAATCCCTAAATAAAACCCTAATTAAATAATTAAAACAATTAAACAGTTAACTTAAACCCAATTAATTAATTAAAATAATTAAACAGTTAAATCAAACCAAACAAATAATTAAAACAATTAAAGAACAATAATCAAAATGCCGAGACTATCCTTTTAAAATTAGGGACGTCCCCGTCGGCACATTTCCGGCTGGGTCAGACGCTGATACCATTTGTAACGACCCACTCCACCACATGGTATGATATTGTCTGCTTTGGGCCTGAGCCCGCACAGTTTTACTCTTTGGGCTTTACCCCAAAAGGCCTCATACCAATTAGGGTGACACATCTACATATAACCACTTCACTTTTCACTTACCCAGGCGATGTGGGACTATTTACCCGTAGCTCGTCAGTGTAGTAGCTTGCCAGTGTCTGGCATCCGCCCACGACACACCTGCCCACAAGGTCATCATAATTATATACCCAAAATAAAGGATAATAATGTTATTTGCTCAAAATTAAATCATTAAGAGTGTTTTTTTTCATTTTGCCCTCCTAACTAATCAGCCTAAAAATTATTTTCTATTTTCAAATAAAACTGAGGGTGCAATTAATATTAATATTTATTTTTGCCAATACTTTATGTTCAAAGTTGAAAAGCTTCCAAATTAAAAGTTAGGGTAAAGTACATCAACACCCTGAGAGGACACACCTATGAAAGTTTATGAAAGTTTAGCTATTTTCAAACAATGACACCCCTCAAGTTTGATACAATTACCAAAAAATCCCAATGTTTTAACTTTTATACTGACCAATTAAAAAGTTGAAATGACCTTTTTATCCTCAATTTGCTCGTACCTATTTCTCTCTGTTCTCTCTTCCTCCTCACCGCCCCTGATTCCACCAATCCACTTCTTTATCCTTCAATTTTTTTCTTTTTTTTATATACACATATATACATATATGTATATACACACAAGGATAATTATATATACACACAGGCGGCGGCGGCGACGTTGCAGTAGAGGCGGCGACGACGACCTTACAGTAGAGATGGCGACGGTGGTTGCAGTTCCGCCGTCCTCTAAGCTCACTGCGCCGCCGAGCCACCATCACCACCGTCTGTAGCTATGGACATACGGTTTTAATCCTTATTCTTCACCGGTCACTCCTTCATCGTCGTTCAGTCTCGCCGTCGGCATCCTTGCTCGCCGCCACTGTTCAGTTCCTCACTGCCGTTCTTCAACACCGAATCCAAGCAAAGACCGTCCCGTGTGGTCAATCATCTTCTTCCCCCAAATCGCGTGTCCAACACACGCCGATGCACTACCACGCGCCCAGCAACTTCCACAGCAAACCGTTCTCGTCGTTGAGACCTTGGTCTTCGAAATCGTCGACGTTGTCTTATCTCACCGCCGGTGATCCCAACAACCTTCACGTCGGCGATCCCACTACACCGAAACCATCTGTTCGTTGACCCATCGTACACAACTTCGCCGGCGTCGGAATCTTTGGCCGCCATTGAAATCACCAATCTCTCCCGATTATCTTGACGGTAATGAAATAAGTAACATGGTTACAGTAGGGATTCACATAGGTTACGGTGTGTGCGCGTATATATATAGAGAGAGATGAAAATGGTAATTTGAGTTATTTAAATGTTTTGATATTTTATAATTAAAATTAATAAAATAGTGAAGGGTAAAGTGAATTTTTTTTAAGGTTATGTTTGGATGATAAATTTTACCAGGGATTGTCGCTGTTCGAAAAGAGCCAAACTTTCACACACACACGTGTGTGTGACTTCAGGAGTGTCAATATAGGTTATCTTAATATTAAAATCGAAAACTCAAACATGCACTGTTATCCAAAAGGATTGAAAGGGAGAAGGGTTTACTCTTACAGTTTGGGATTTCTTTTCTCTAACGTTCAAAATTACCCTCTTGTCCTCTTCCTGTCTGATTCTCCTCCAACAAATCACAATCCTATCTCACACAGACCCACGTCACCCAGCCACCCCCAATCCCTTTAAATTTCAAACTCTAATTTCAAACTAAAACCCTCTCTCTCTCTCTCTCTCTCTCTCTCTACCCTCGTTAGTGGAGTTTTACCGTTACTCGAGCTTTGAAGAAGGAGCTGTTATCTATATATACTTAAGAAATTCATAGTTTCACACATCTATTATAATTTCTTCAGCCAGAGAATAATTTCATTCATAGTTTCACACATCTCTCTCTCTCTCTCTCTCTCTCTCTCTACCCTTGTATGTAACATTTCATTCTCACCCACTTCAACCAGAGAATAATTTCTTCAGTTCCTGTATCTTGTCTAGTGAATGGGTGTTTCTTCTATCTCTAGTTATATACTCCGTATCTTGCATTCACAGTAAAGGGTCTCTTGAGATGGACTAATTTCTCTCGCTCAGATCACACAGTTGGAGCTGTGACTGATTTCAGGGGTGAGATCTATTTTCTTTCCTGCTGCTTTATTTGTTTTCTGTTCATTTTGCTGCTTTTTAACTTGGGTTTTCTTCTTGAGACAAAAAAATATGATCTGTTTGTACTTGTTTTGTTGCCAAAAATTTAGGGAAAAGAAAAGAAAAAGAAAAAGAAAAAGAAAGAACCTTTACTTACTTTTACCAAAATAAAAAATTAGGGAAAAGAAAACAAATTTTGGTTAGGAATATCATGACCAACTTTTCTAAGTTTCTATTTATTTTACATTTTCTTGAGAGAGAGTGTGTGTGTTAATTTATTGATATTTTGTTGTGTTTGAGATCTAATGATATCCCTCTAATTCATTGAAATTCTAAGTTTGAATGGTGTAATTAATGTTGCACTGAAAATTGATTGAAACATTGAGGAACAACTTGGTTGAGCTGATTATTTGGTAAAGTTCGGCTCATACAATATGTTATGTACCTGATCATAAATGTATACAAGCTTTGTAATCTTCAGATCTTGCTGCTTTTAATTTGAAAATTTTTTCATCTGATTTTTTCCTATCAAGAACATTTTTCCTCTACTTCTTCTCTTTTCATCTGATTTGTCAGAGAAAGCAGCAGAAAATGTAAGTGGATCATAAATGTATACAAGCTTTGTAATCTTCAGATCTTGCTGCTTTTAATTTGAAAATTTTTTCATCTGATTTTTTCCTATCAAGAACATTTTTCCTCTACTTCTTCTCTTTTCATCTGATTTGTCAGAGAAAGCAGCAGAAAATGTAAGTGGATCGATTTGAGATACGCAACGCCCTACCAAAAATAGGTCAAATTTGAAATCCCCCACAAGAGTTTATGGGACTTTTAGCTAAATGGCATGCAGTGTTTTTAGCTAATCTCTTTAAAGTTCATTTAGTAAACGAATTTGTATGCATTCACAATGTAAAGTGCAGGAAGTTCAAAGTAGAGTGTCAATAGAATATATTACACACTTTTTCAAAATGTTTTAGGTAACTTTTTGTCCATATTTGACCAACAACATAGCTGGTAGTTTTCATGGTATGATAAAATCTAAAATTCATGATCAATATTTTATATATGCCTAAAGTAAAAGAAAAACATGAACAAAGGAGTTTGAATGCAATCCAAATTACATGCAAGTAATTTATTCAACGAAGTTGTGTATGATCATTGCCGTTGTTGTTTCAACCCCTAATGTACTATGGTTAACAGCAGCAAAAATTACGAATACTACTTCCCTGCATCCGAACTCTACAAATTTGTTAGTTGGAAATATCTGGAAAAGATGTTTTTTTTGCCATGTCATGGTTTACCCCTTAGGTAATTAGGTTTCTCTAATTACCAATTTGAAGTTTTCCTTGTTTTCAAGAGCAACATATATTCTTTTTGTTGAATGCCAAAATAGGCTTTTTCATACTATGTTACCAGTAGAAATATATCATTGTAATGTCCAATATAAAGATCAGGTGTGCCGGAGCAGTTTGCTTATGTTGTTAAAACCCAGGGCATTTTGGAATAAATTTGATATGGATAATAGCATTTAATGTTTGATTGTGCATATGGAATTGTTTGGCAAATCTGTCAGCTCTAGGAGATACTTCATGTTTTTTTTTTCTTAGTTGATACTCACACACACGTCTCTTCCGAGACTTGAACCCCTGACCTCCCTTTGGGAAGTAAGAGACTAATACCGCTAGACCACTGGCCCGTTAGAGATATTTCATGTTTTTATACTCAAACTGTATTTTTATTTGATTGTATGTTGCTCTTGTAGTACATTTCCTCTGCATTTACACATTTTTCCTCTTGATCACAGCTTCAAGTTTTGTAGATCACAAGCTTTAAAGTAATTTGTCTTATTATCTTCTTCAACCATTTGCCTTCTGAACTTCTAGCAAAATCAATGCCAAGATCAAGGTTAGAGAACTTTAATCTATAGAATATGGGCCAAATGGCAGCTCTCTTTTCCAGTATCATTCATTTGGTTTGTAAAGATTGTTTTGTGTACCATTTAATCTGTTTGAGCTGTTTTATTCGTGGAGTATCCATCATTGGCATGATAATGATGGCTACCATGTGATTATTGCTTAAGCAATTGATTAAATGATCAAATTACTATATTCCATTCTCTGTCTATGATTTGTGTGTTTGCAAGCCATTATGTCAAACCAAAATTTGATGAATGTGAATCACTGCTTTTGATGAGTGCTTGTTTCCTTGTGAAAGAATGAATGCTGCAAACTATAAAGTAATTTTGAAGCATCATATGGAATAGAATCTGTAATTATATTACAAACCTTCTTTTATATCCTAGCCATATGGATAATCCACAGATGAAGGGATCAACTAATATTAACTTCCTTTCAGAAGTGCATAGCTTCATTTCATTCATTTTCATTTTCTTCCGTAAAGCCTTTAAACAATGTCTATTTTACCTTTGCTAAAATTAAGTTCTTCATGCACCTAACTTGATTTGTGGCACACAAATTCGTTACGGAAATACTACCTTATTCTCTATGCCAAGGAATGGACAATACTTTGCCTTAGGCCATATAAGAAGGAAGTTTCTTTTATGGCCTAAGGCAAGCATTGTCCCCAAGAAATTAGCTTTAATCCTTATTCCCACATGCAATTGATGTTTTAAGTTGTTATTGTTATATGTACATTAAGTTTTGTCTCTCAAAGTTGACTTTTTTATGTATTATGTTTGTGTGATTAATGGAAATTTATGTTTTTATATGTCGAATAGGGGGTCAGAAATGCCTCAAAGGCAATCTCCCCGAGTCCCACTTCAACTTAGGTCATCATCAAGCTCCAATTCTGATCCGCTGCATAATCGACCCACTAGTAACAAGAGCTCTAAGCTAGTGGATCGCCGATCCCCAAGAGGTACACAATCTGATTCAGTAAATCAAAAGAAACTTGGTACCCGCATTTCAGATTTAGAATCTCAACTTGGGCAAGCACAAGAAGAGCTCAAGATTCTGAAGGAGCAGTTATCCTCTGTAGAGGCTGCGAAGAAAGAAGTTCAAGAAAATTTAAAGAAGAAAAGCCGGAAACCAATTCTTCCAGACCCCATGAAAATGCAAGAGGAGCAATCTCATCCAACTGAAACCCAAGAATCAAACAAAAATGATTGCAGTGCCCCGTTTGAAATTCCTGATGACAACCAGCTAGAAACTGATGTTTTCAAAGTTCCAATGGAAAAAGTGACGGTGGAGCCTCAGGTTAAATTTAATCAACCAATTGATCAAGAAGATCATGAAAGTAAACCAGTTGTTGGCCTATCAACAGAATCACCTACCATTTCTGAGCATGAGAAACTGTATTCCAGTGAATTGGCTTTGAAGAATGACGAGATCAGTTCGTTGAAAGCCAATTTAGAAGAGAAGGAAAAGGAATTAGAAGCTTTCCATCAAGAAAATGAAAGCTTGAAAAGTCAGTTGAATGAAGCAACTTTAGAGATATCATCTACTCGAGCCAAGGAAGAGGACTTGACTACAAGGTTGAGCCAACTAGGACATGAGCTGGAAGAAAGTAAAGCAATTACAGTTCAGTTAAATGAGAAGCTGGAAGCTAAAAAAGAAGCAAAGGATTTATTGGAAACGGAAATGAAGAAACTGAGTGTCCAGACTGAGCAATGGAGGAAAGCGGCTGATGCTGCAGCAGCAGTACTTGCTGGGGGTGTGGAGATGAGTGGGAAAAGAGTGTCTGAGAGGGGTGGTTCCATGGATAAGCACTTTAGCAGCATGTTTGATACTCCAGTTGGAGGAGGGTACAACCCCGGGTTTGCAGGTTCTCCTAGTATGGGTGATGACCTGGATGATGGTTTGGGTACTGGAAAGAGAAAAGGGGGTATAAGAATGTTTGGAGATCTGTGGAAAAGGAAAGGCCAGAAATAAGAAACTCTGGTCTTTGTGACCTAGAAAACCACCTTTATTTTTTATTTTTCCAGTGGAACTACTACCATTTTGAATTTGTGATTCAATTTGTGCTATCTTGTTGAATCCATGCCTTTCAGGGTGAACTTGTTGTGCTCTTTGATTTAGGGCTAGGTTTTGGAGACCTCTTTTCCAATGTACTAGAGAAACTGTCTTGAAAGATGTTATTGCGTTGGTCCTCCTCCATTCTTCTGTTATATGTTCCACATTGCATATGTTAATATTCTTTTTTTCCTTGTAACGTACTTGTGATATCCCATTTAGATTTCTGTCATTCATCAACCGTGGGATGTTAATTATATGAAAAAGTAATGCTGTTATGAATTTTCTAAGCTACCTTGAGTTGGAAGGAGGAAAAGCAGAAGTGCGAAAATCACTTGATTTAAGCATTATGACATTAGAGTATTAATGGAAATGTTTATGCATTTCCCGTAATTAATTAATTCTAAGACATCTTTATTTGAGGACCTCCATCATTTAATTCCAATCAAATTTTTAAAAAGATGCTATCGTAACATAGTGCTTTTAAAACACTAAAACACCTCTCCATGGAGAGAATCAGAACACCATTGGACGGTTTGCACGGTGTAAGCGGTATTCTGTCCGAAAGCTACAATTAGCAGCAGTGATATCTTCAGCTTTGAACACATTGAATGGATATTGAAGATAATATCAACAGAATTACACAATCAAAAGTTGCAGTACAGTACAGTAATGGTCAACATTATTGCACAACTTTTGCATAATAACATCCCAGTACAGTAATGGTAGCTCAAGGTTGGTGAGGTCTAGCAGCTCACTCCATGTCATGATCAACAAAGGCTTCAATTTTGCCTCAATATCCCCCAATTGGGGATCTAGCAGCTCACTCCATGCCTCAATAAACTATCTGCAATTGCTTTTGCAAAGTGTAGTCGTTTACAGCACCAATCTAATCGTCTTCATCACTTTCATAGTTTTGGAATAATGATTGTAGCCCGATGCTTGCTTTGTTTTCCTGTTCTGCTGGCTTGTTACTATTAGAAACCACTGGAGGTTTCTTGACAACATTAAATTTGACTGATGGCGCCCTAAGCCGTACCGATTTTTCTGTCAACAACCATAAAAATGACAAATTTGTTAACACATGGTACCTTTGTAAAGAAAATTGCATTTTACAAATTCCCATAGTTTCAAACACAATTATATATTCTGAAGACAGAAAACCAAGGGAAGAAAATGTTACTGTCTAATTTATATTAGCAAGTACTTTTCTAGCATTTCAGCTGAAAGAAACCATAAATAATGTTTCCGTAAAATATGGTAAAGATGAAATTCATTAGCAGATTGCTGCAGTTTCTTACTCTCCTTCCTAACCCACCACTCTCTTTTCTTTTTTCTCTTTTTTCTTTTTTCAAATTTAGTTTCCGTTGTCATTAACCTTTTAATAGAATGAACTGTTTCTAAAGATATATACTATCAACCTATGTTAGCTGTATCATTTTCTTACCACAAGTAAGGAAAAAGTCAAGTTCCTAAGACACTGCTCAGGCATTTACCACAAGAATGTGACTGGAAATTCTGACTTGCTTGGTAAGACTTCACAACGGAGTAAATTTCTCCGATTATAGACTTCCATAACCGACCATTAGCCCCACTTTATTGACTTCTATTCTAGTTTTATACACTTCATATTGCAATTACTATTATTATAAATTACTAGGCCTATGCTTCCAAAGTTGAGAAAAGTAAACAGACAAGCCCTGGGGTTTTTGGGACACACTAGTAGTTCATCTTCAACAGCTGAACAAAGCAAAAAGGCTGGGAATGGATTAATCAACCAGGACTTGGCTTTAAGCATTGCAAATTAAAATTAAGCACATTAACTTTGCACAGAATAAAAAGAAGATTTCATTTAAAATTACTCAACCAAACTTTGCACAGAATAAAAAGAAGATTTCATTTAAAATTACTCAACCAACCTTCACCATTGGAGCTGTTGGGAATACTTGTTTCAGTCAGACAATCTGTTGGGTTATTAGGAAGCTCTTCAGAAACCTTTCTCTTCTGCATAAGATATTTAACAAGCTTAGTCATAAATGCACAGTTTCATCATTTCACATTTTTATAACAAGTACAATGAAACTTTTCTTATTAATTCAACTACTGATTCCCACAGGTGTTCCCTCTGCTGCTATTAACTGAAATCCATACTAAATTTAGAAGCATGAAAACGATGCAGTTCGAGGTTCTCCTTTATTTTTTATTTTTATTTTGAGGTGGAGGGACAAAAGGGTGTTTGTAACAAAACATTCAAACATTAGGAGCACAGGTATGCAGGATGCACTATTTTCCAGAATCAAAGAAATGTCCAGATAGTGCTTTCAATTTCAATAAAATATTCTCTCTTTTCTCCAAATAGCAATGTGCACTATATATTTCCTAAAGCAATTTGTACTCGGCCTATCCACCTAACTCTGTAAGCAGAGAATTCTGCACAATCGCTATGCCAACCTATGTAAACTAGTCACTTCTTTTTCAGTTTCAAGTTTTTCGATTTATTTCATATTATTTTTGCAATTTTTCAAGCAAAAAATACTAACATACAAATAGTGGCATAGCAGATATATAATTGTTGTGCACAATTGCTTTCGAGACCAAAAGAAAAGAAATTAAGTGAAATAAGTAAAATAAAGATCAAAGGTCAGCACTGATTCTACATCCTCTTCAGTTCCATTTGTGCACCTAGGAGTTAAGCTCATCATTATTTGTTTTTTAATCGTTTACAATGTTATTCAAGTACAAATATTCTTTTTCACTTTTGATACTGAAAGCTTACCATTTGAAGAAATAATCAGCAGTCAACTAAAGACAAAGGGAAAATTTCAAGTTTCTCGTTGATCAAGGATCAATTTTTTTTTTCTTTCATCAATACAATGTTGTTCCCATTGAAAGATACCATAAACTGGTCAAACCAACACAAAAGAATTTATAGAGACGATTAAAAATATTTCATCTATGTCAACATCATTTCAACTCAACCAAATCAATGAAGCCTTATCCCAACTAAATAAAAACAACTACATGAATCCATTTTTTTTAAGCTACATGAATTCTGTTCTAAGAATGTAAACTCAAAGACCAATAAAACCCCATATTTTCTTTCTTGCAAAATAAAAAAGATAAAATGAAGGATTAAAACCTAAGAATGCAACAAACAATCACTGACTTCTTTGAGAATTAGCAGGTAAGAGGAAAAAATACAAGGGAAGGTAGGAAAAAGTGCTTATTTTTAGTACTTGGTTCGTAACTACTCTACCCTAACTTGTTAATTGTTTTTAGTAGGTTTTTTTATTTTATTTGTGACTTGTGTCAAATGTTTACTTCAAAATATGTCATATAGTTCACGCATACTACATACCAATGTTTATTATGTCATGTTTGAATATTTTATGCTTGTCTTACTAAGATAGATCCAAGATAAATTTTAAACTTATTCATAGTAGCTTTTCCTCCTCAAATTCTAACAAGCACACTCTTCTATAAATGGATGTGTATGTAGGCAACACATCTAAAAAAATCAATTGTTTGGTTTTGGTTATCTAATCAATAATAGACTTTACACTACGCTACCGAGCATTTCCATGTGTTACCAGATCCTTTTGCCACTCCCAATGTGTTCTCCAAACACTTCTGCTTTAAAGCTGATGAAAACAGCAGTCGGCAGATGGAGATGGCTCTCAGAAATGAAATTATGATCCTTGTTTCTGTTTTGCACTTATTGCCAGAAGCTTCTTGTTGGAAATTTTTCTTAAATTAAGATTGACAATCTTCTTCTCTATCTTTTTTTCTCTCTTGGGGAGAGGTGGAAGGTGTCGAAAGAAAGTAAGGTGTATTGAATGAATATTATTTTTTCTTAAATTATTATTTTTTCATCAACTATATACCAGTTGAATGAATATATGTATAACTTATTATATATTATATTCAGTCGGATCATATTATTATTGGATTGGATTGACCATAATGCACATCCGATTTGTTAGTTTTGTATTTTGATAGTTAATGGATTATCAGATTAAAATATTCAATCCATCCAAATTATCATATCGGATTTCGATATTATCAGATCGGATTCGGATTGAAATCTGATCCGTTGAAAGGTCACAGACCTAATCTTAATATACCGGAGACATTCTTGATTTTGATAACATGTTTCGTTTTTGTGTCTGGCTGCATTAATCCAGCCCAGGAGTGACACAGGTATAATGATAGTTATGTAGGATCTATACGCAGTTTACATGCTGGGTTAAGCCATAGTCACGGTGCTTTAAGCAATCATATCAAAGTTCCAGAAAACTAACTTAACCATAAAAATTTAACCTTAAAATTCTGCTATGATTTTGAGATGCACCATCAAATTTTAAGAGATTTATATTACACACAAAATAATCACAGGGAATGCATTGTAAAAAAGGATATTTTGCCAATCTCAATTCCCTATCACATATTCCCAATCATAACTCAAAAAATATTTCTGATTTAAGAACCCAATTTCATGAGGATGACTCTCTTCGTGCAATTTCAGTAAGGATTGAATCATTTTATTTTTTTATTCAAACTAGCATGACATTTTCAGTACTATTTTTTGATAGATACAGATTTCATATATACTTTTTAAAAACAATGTTGTAAAAACTGAAACGTAATCATGGCATATTCATACCTTTAAATCACTGTTCCCAATTTCACCATTGGCAGTTGAATGAGTCAAATCTTCATCATCATCATCATCATCAAGATCTTCGTCATGGATTCTTTTTTGGACAGGGACTCTTGATCCCTGAGTTAAATGGACACCAAGTAAGCTTCATAAAACTAACTCCTCAGAGAAAAGGAGAACAAAAGTAAACTAACTACCAGGAGATAATCAGAACTCACTTGAAATATTGATTTTATGAGCGCTTCATCCTCCTCTTCCAACTTCTTTTCCTATCGTGAAAATCCAACAGTACAGTTATGAAACCCGTCATTGCACATATATTTATGCAAGTACCCAAGCACATATATGTAAGGGGTTTCAGATAGCTATATATATTTTAGCCAGATCCAGCACGAATCATACGACAGATGTTTCCATTTTGCCATTCAATTTCACATCCGATGAGATGTCTCACCTAAGTTCACCAAATATTTGAAACATCTTGACGGGGAAGGAGATGTGATTTGCACACAGTGACAAAGCCCTTGCTTAGCAGAAAAAATTCTAGTCATCAAGGAAGCAAATATGATGACTCTGTTCATAGGCAAGTATAACTAAAATTAAGACATGGAGATGACTGAAATTAGCATCCCAAAAAGGTTGCATTCTATAAAAAGCTACATTTAAATCTAGGTATAATCAGATAAGTTCTCATCCACAAATGAACATTAAGATGGTTTAGACATGATTGATATGCCCCAAGAAAGTTTCAGGACAACAAAACAAACAAACGTGAAAAAGAGTGGGTGAGAATAAAGCTCAAATTCCAATTATATACGGACCGTTTGGTAGGAGAAGAGTAGTGGGATAATGGAAGGGGTAAAACTTAAAAACTAGCTTAACAATCTTACCTTTTCCTCCGCTGAGCGTTGCAAAACCTCAAGCATCACATCTACACTGACAGTTGCCTGTCTCGACTGAAAAATGTAGAAAAAAGCTTATTTTAGTATGTCAAATATATATATAGATATATAAGAAACCCTAAGTAGTTTCTGTAGCCAAATTCCAGAACAGTAAGAAAAGAAAAAAGAAAAAAAGCAAGGCGAATAAAAGAAAAACTTAACATTCATCCATCATGCTAATGATACCAAGCATCAGGTAATCAATTTTATTTACTCTTTTTTTGTTTTCTCCTCTTGTTCTGTTAATACTTCATACACATTACACAAATTTGAATGGTGGTTAAATTAGTTGGTTGAAATTCAACCTAGAATTAAGTTTAACATACATAGTAACTTAAATAAAAAATACACATTTAGGGTTTGTTTGGTTCAATTTTCTGAAACTGCGGTTCAAGATCTATGAGAACTAAATCACAAGAGATAGTTTTCAGGAATCTGGTCTTCTTTAACTCGGTTTTTCAAAAATATATATATAATTAGTGTTTGTTTGGTTCAATTTTCTAAAATTGCAGCTCAAGATGTATGAAAACTGAATCACAAAAGACAGTTTTCAGGAATCTGGTCTTTTTTAACTCGGTTTTCAAAAAAATAAATAAAGGGGGGGGGAGTACCACCACTCAAGGACTAATCCAGTTATGTCCAGTGGGGGGGCCACTGAATTTTTTTTAATTTACATTTTATACCCATGATTTTGTTAAAATCTTAATAATAACCCCACAAAATATTTAATAAAACCCACCATATATAAAGCAGTCCCCACTAATGTTTTAGTCTTCGCACTCATCAGTCATCACCCTGTGGTAATTGAAATTTTGTTATCTTATCTTCTTTAACAACAACCGCAACCCCCCCCCCCCCCCCCCCCCCAACAAAACAAAACAAAAAAAAAAAACCACCCACCAGGCCTTTAATATTAAAGTTCTTTTTGTTTATGGTAATTGATTTTTATTTTATTTTCAGGTCTCTGAAACCAGAAAACAATCTTAGAAAACTGAGACAAACAGGCCCTTACTGACCAAATCATCAACAATGAGTGCCTAAAACTAACACAACAGAACAAGAAGTTCATTATTTTAGGTTTTTTCTTTTTTGGCCATTTGTATACACTGACAAGTATTTTTATGACAGATATGCATCAGCACGGACAGAGTTCAATTTGGGGTCATTTAATGCCATGCAAAGACAATATGGTTAAGCCATAGCTTCATATACCTTCATGGACTTCATTTCATCCAGTGCAGCAAGGATATCCATCTCTCTTTTTGAGTCCAAGGTTCTATTCTCCAAAGATTTCATTGCATCACCCATCTCTTCAGAATCCCTTTTCTGCTTCTCCTTGTCTACTTCCTGACAAAATGAAATATTGAAGTTGTAGATGAAACCCTAAACAATAATTAGATCAAAGTAAGGAGATTTCAACATGAAATATATAGCTGGATACAGCAAGTTAATTTTCACCTCATCCTCTGCACGCCAAGGTTCGAAATTTCTTGTTGCACCCGACTCAACTACGTAGTCTGAATTTTGAGGGTCTGTCTTCATCGCAATCTCAGCTGAGCACCTGGTGCATTTGAAGTAGAACCTAAATATTTGGATACCCAAGTATGTCTGCAAATGATTTTGACATTTACAATTCAGTTCAGCGGCTGTATAGATCCAGATTCCGTCAAAGAGAAAATCAGAAAACATGCATCTTGGAAATCACAAAACTAAGGGAAACAAAGTAAAATTAACCAAAAAAAGAAGACATAATTGATGTTATCAATCCAACTTCCAAACAACAAAACATCAATATTTCAAGCTTGTATGTCCTAACCTTACCATTAGTGAAGACCTAACCTTTGCCATTTAGTTTACATGAAGTGCTAAGTTTAATTTATTACCAATTTGGATATTGAGGTTCTATTAATCCCCAAATGCATATTCATAAAAGGAAATTAACGAACACAAAACGAGTTATCAACAAGCACACGCCAAACACATACAAATGAAGGTATAGATAGATATAGATATAGATATAGATATTGTATAGGTTTCAATACCTCGCCAATGACGTCTTCTTTGCGGGAATTGAACTTGGTGCCCTTATATATATAATTTCCACAGGTGTTGCAACGGATGCTCATGGGGAGCATCATCCTCACCTTTATCTGCTGGTTCTTCGGCTGTCTCCTCCTCGGTATCTTCGCCGGATCGAAGTCCGGCGGGTAATACTTGTTCAAAACCTTTCTCTCTCCCATCTCTCAACCGATCAATCAAAATTATTTGTAGAGGGTGAGTCTGATACTACAGCTGCAGCAGGGCCGGACCTGAGATTCCAAATATTTTGAGAGGCCCCAGGCGAACTTTCAAATGTGAGGCCCTTCACACGCACAAAAAAAATTATAAGAGTGAGGAATTTTCACACGATGTTTTTAAATTATATAGCTAATATAATTGTGTGCATGTGCATTTTGCATAAGACAACTAATAACTATAATCTTCATTCATTAAATCTTCATGTTCATTGACTAACTTCATATGATCTTCATTCATTAAATCTTCATGTTCATTGAGATTTTCTTCATTTGCTTTCGCATTCATAAGTTCTTCATTCACCAAATCTTCAACTAAACTCTCTATTTGTGTATTGCTCCAAAAAAACTTATGAATATCTCCTTTTTGAGATTGAATCAATTCTTCTTCTCTCTTCTTTTTTTCCCTTTTTGTCATGCCCATATTCAAATTTTCTTGTAGACTTAATGAAATCTAAATAACAGGAACCATAATCAACATAAAACTAGACTTCAAAAAAATAATAATAATAATTTGTTTTGTTTAAAGAAAATATATATTACCTCAATATGCAATGATTTGATTCAAGTTCAAGACAAATAACCTAATGAGATCCTAAGAAGAGTGTCCTGCTAGCATGTGAAAGAAGATCACAATTAACATAAAACGGATGGAAAATCAAACAGAAACAATAATAACTAAGCATTGCCGATCATACAATAAATATAATACCAAAAAAACAAAATCTAAAATCAAGCCGTTTGGTTGAATGATCTCCTGGCTGGAGTTTTCACTGGAATCTGGAGGAGAGGAGAGAAGACAGAACAGAGTATCCAAAATACAGTCCAAAAGTGGAAAAGAGGACAGAAAACCGCAGCTTCTTTTACATTCATTGTTTATATAGCTGCTAAAAATTGATGATTACAGATGACAAAAATATGTGGAGATGAGGTGACTATATATATATAGGAGGCTGAACTTGTAGTGCTGAAGAAGTAGTGGGACTTTTAGGTTATATGTGACATCCACTATCATATATAGGGTTGTCTTTCACTCTTTGTATTAACTACACTGTGTGTGTTTTTATTGGGAGCCAATTACCCCTTTCTTGATTTCAGGATGAGGAATCAACTTTAGTAGCAGTGATTGATTGAACATTGCTACAGAAGACCTGTGCAAATTAATAAAAAAAACCATTAACTTTTGTTTTGTTAAAGCCTGCTCTTGATTTCCATGTGTTTGTACATTCTGACGATGGCAAGTGCTTTGAGCCTTTGACAGTATTATTAACTGAGATTCTAGCTGAGCCAACTTCAAATAACATCAATAATGGTATCTTCATATAAAAATAAAATTTAAAAAAAAAAAAAAAAAAAACCCTTAATTTGGCACTTTTAAGTACGAGCATAATTTAGAGATCGAACAACTTAATTATTACCTCAACCCACTAGTAGAAGGGATCCTTAATTTTCGTGGGATTGAATGTGAAAATGCAAAAAATTATGAGCAAAAGGGGATAGTTGCAGCTGTTGTGAACCTGGAGTGGACTTAGGGAGAGGAAAAAAAAAAAGTACCTGCCATAGATTATGGACTCGATCGCCATGAAAGACACATGTAGAAAGGCACACATTTATTAAAATACTAAGAAAACCATAATATATTCATTCAGCTTTTGAAAGCCATCACACACACACAAAAAACCCTAGTTTGGAAGCTACTTTTCACTATTGGAACAAAGGTAAAGGCCCGAATCAAACAAACCAAAGTTAGAACAAATCAAATGATGTGATGAACGAAAGAGAGAAACATATATAAAATATCGATTCGTGCAAAAGGAGAGAGAGAGAGGCGATGAACATACCTTGTCACCTGATCCTGAGGCGATAGCGGAGGCTGCGCCCTGCGGAGTGTCGAAGCAGATTGGGTCGTCTGAAATACTTGCCCTAAGTTAAATTTATTTTATTTTATTTTATTTTTTAAAACCCCTGTGAGAAGGTAGTATAGCGGTGGTTAAATTTGGGGGAGAGAAACAATTGATTTCAATTGTGGAGATTGAGCTTCCTTTTCTTTTTCTTTTTCTTTATTTTTTTTTTTTTTTTTTTTTTTTTTTTTTTTTTTTGGGACAAAGCCATCCCTTTAGGCGAAACTCTAAAGTAAACAAAGCCTTAAATCCTCTTAAAAGACAAAATTACCCCTCAATATAAAAATCAAATTTATTATAAAATATTATATTCTCTCCGTCCTAAAATAAGTGTCATGCTTTCCTTTTTTGTCTGTCCCAAAATAAGTGACCACTTTCTTTTTTCAAATAATATATTTCACATCATTCCAAAAATATCCTTTAAGTTTAAATTTCAAATTTGAATATTCAAAACTTAAAAGGCTAGATTAGTAATTTTTTAGGCAGACAATGCATGTCCCACATGTCCCCTTAAAAATTACTACTCCCCGTAAGTGTCACTTATATTGGGACGGAGGGAATATATAGTAAAAAGACACAATTACTCTCAATTTCTTTCAGCCACAAATTGGCTGCCAAGTGGCACCAGATTAGACCACCCACCTGACCAAACCACCTTCTTCCCCCACTCTCTCGGAGTTCACTGCCCCGCCGCCGCCATTGTCGCCACCCTCTTCCCCCCTCTCTCTTTCTCTATATATACACGCGTTCATTGCGCCACCACCACCACCACCACCCGTTTTCCTTCCACCACCGTCGATCTAAAACTACCGATGGTGCACGAAGATAAGAGTCGCGAATTAGAGGCAAAATCCCACTGCGATAGTCCACAGGCCGAAAACAAGATTACTTTCCCTACACACGCCACCGTGGAGCTCCTGCAACAAGGCCGGAAGCAACGTTGAGGCCAGTTCCAAGGGTTGGAAGTCTTGAAGAGCAGTCCCTCGCTTCCAAGACATAGAAATCAAAACGACGCCGTTAACAGATCTGTTCTGTCGTCGATGCTTCTGGGTCTTGCCGGATTGAACTATCGCCGATGCTTCTGGGTTGGGGTCAAACCCTTCACCCCTCATTTTCCCAAACAATTCCACCGCTTCCCACTGCAAAACCCATCTTCAAGTACCCTGATGTCATCGAATTCCACGACACTATATCTCTCTCCCTAATTTGATCAAACACTTTCCGGACATACCCCAATTCACCACATCTTGAATACATCGTGATCAATGAATGAGCCACATAACCATCCACAATCAACCCATTCTTGAAAACCATTAAATGGGCCAGCCTCCCGTGTTCCAATGCTAAAAGATTCGCACAGGCAATAAACAAGAATGGAAATGTAAAATTATTCGACTTTAAGCCCCAAAACTTCATTTGGGGTATGTTTGGTACGGTGGGTTTGAAGGGGGAGGATAACATTAGTTATGAGGGAAAGGAAAGGGAAGGATAATTTTAACCCCCTATTGTGTTTGATTGATTAATAAAGGAAAAGAAAGGGAAGGATAATAATCATGTTTGGGAAAAGAATGGGAAAGAAAGGAAAGTGAATTATTTTAATAAATTGACTATTATACCCTTTTATATTTAAAAAATAAATAAATAAATAAATATATATATATATATATATATATAGTCTCCTATACCTGCACAAGAAAAGAAAAAAAAAAAATTAGGGCAAATCATTTCAGCCTCCCCAATCTCGCTTCCATATATATATATATATATATATATATAGTCTCCTATACCTGATGAGCCACAAGAAAAGGAAATAAATAAATAAATAAAAAATTAGGGCAAATCATTTCAGCCTCTCGAATCTCGCCTCCATCTCTATTCTCGTTCTCAACTCTGAACTTGCCCTCTCTCTCTATATCTCTCTCTCTTTCTCTTTGCACTACAAGAATTAGAAGTTCAAAACCTAAACCTATATATTTCAGTTTATCTTTCTGTCTACGAGAATCAAAAATTCAAAACCCGTATCGGTATATCATTTTAGATTGTTCAGCACATCAAAACCCATATTTTTTAGTTTCCATCGCTGCTGTTCCAGTTCGCCGTTCGCAAGCTTCAGCCGCTGGCCTGTCATCTCTCATTCTCTCTGCAACTACTAACTTGTATGTAACTTGTATATATATTGTTTTGAGGCTAAAATTGACATCTCAAATATTACATTAGCCATTGTTTTCCCTTTCCTCTCATTTTTGGGAGGAGAAGCAAATCAATGTACAAAGTTATACATAACCCTCCAAACCCTTCCCTCTCCTTTCCTTTCCTTCCATCCATTTTACCCAAACACAATTTTTTAATCACCCTCCATCACCTTCCCTTCCCTTCCCTCCCATTTCCATTCTACCAAACTGGGCCTTGGTAATAGAATTATAATGGAACTTATAAGAATTAAACCCATATTCGGTCGTCTTTTTTGAAGCAAAAAGAAAAGACACCTGGATCCATGTAAATGGCCAATATGCTCATTGATGTCATCTTCATTTGACCTGTTTGTTTACAGCGAACAAAAGCTAGTGACCGAAATAAACAACTACCCAGAAACATCTTTTTCATTTCAAGTTGTTTGCCATGTTGTTGTTAGGCCACGAATCATTACATTGAAAGCGTAGTCACTGGGTTCAGGCATATGAGAGAAGAGAAATGAAGCATTGTTGAAGTCTTTGAGATCAATGAGCTTTGAGAGCAGAAAGTTCGGTTTATGAATGAGGAAGAGGGCGGTGGCGGTGGCCGTTGACCAGACCATCGCCGCCGCTATCTGGTATATTGAGAGAGAGAAGGTATTAGACTTTTTTCTTCTTCTTATTTTATTTTATTTATTATTTTTTTTTATGCATAAATTGTTCATGAGCTAAATTGGTCCAATTTACTAAATTGTAAAGTTAAAAAAGTCTCATAAACGATCAAAGGGTAATTTGATCAATTTCTCAAGTTAGGGGGTGTCTTTGTTCATTTTTGAACCTTCAGGGGTGTATTTGTTCAAAAAACAAGTAAGTTTCACCTGTATCTTTTTTTAGCAAACCTCATAAGGTGGCGTTGTTATACTTTATCAAAAAAAGTGATTTTGAATTGTAACAAGACGTGAATTTAGTTATAATATTTTATATTTTTTTCTTAAATAATAATTTTTAAACTTATATTTTCAGTTACATGCATCTTCATACTTTTAATTAAAAAAAATTATTTAAATAATAAAATTAAAAGTAAAATTCATTCTTATAACGAAAAACTATAATATTTACCAAAAGAAAACTATATGATATTTTCTTAGTAGTATATGTCTAGCATAATTAAATCTTGTAATATTATTTTTTCCCATTATTTTTCTATTGAAAAAAATATATTAGAGAAAAGTTTATTATTTTATACCATCCAATTACTTTTTGTAATTAAAATTCATTTTTGTTGATCTAATTTTTTGATAAAATGTCCATTTTGGTGGGGATTTTGTGCAATTTACCCAATTATGTGAATTTTGCTAAAATATTCTTCTTCTTCTCTTTTTTTTTTTTTTTTTTTCCTTGAATAATAATATTTGAACTTATATTTTCTGTTACATGCATCACCATACTTTTAATTAAAGAAAAATATTTTAAAAATAAAATTAAAAAGTAAAATACATACTTATGAGTGCAATTACATGATACTTCTTTAGTATATGTCTAGCATATATAGTTAAATCCTATGATATTCTTTTTTTGCCTTTTTATTGAAAAAAAATAGAGAAAAGTTTACTATTAATTGATTCCATCCAATTACTTTTTGTAATTAAAATTCATTTTTGTCAATCTAATTTTTTATTAAATGTCCATCTCAAATATTTTTATGTACACATTATATATAAAATAAATAATATAATAATGGTATAACAATATATAATGTGAGTAATTCAGGAAAAAAATATATAATGTGAGTACACATATAAGATTTGAACTTATATGTAATTGCATTCAAAACTATAAATATTACTTTTAAATTTTTTTATGATTTTCTTTAATTAAAAGTATGGTGATGCATGTAACAAAAAATATAAGTTGAAATATTATTATTAGAGAAAGAAAAAAAAAAACTTTTAGCTAAATTCACCCAATTGAAAAAATTGCATAAAATTCCCCTTGACTTGGTTAAGGGGGGTATTTTGGTTAGAAAAAAACCCACAATTTTTTTTTGTAAAATAATACTAAAAGGGGTATATTGCAAAATGATACAAGTTAAGGGCGTTAAATGCACTTTATCCATTATAATAATGTATCATATTGTATTTTTTATAAGAGAAGATAAAATTGTCAAAGAAGACGAGTTTGTGTGTAATTTGCGTCAAATTTAAAGCGAGGTAACGTAATTTATCATTTTTTAAAAGAATATTTTATCTTTCCGTTCTGCCAACGATTGAGAAGATGATAGAAGCCGGACTTGAGTCCTAATTCGTTTTGTAACGTGCATGGGTATATATAACAAATTTTCATATCTTAATTTATTATTTATTTTCTTATTTTATGAAACTTGTTTACATATTTTTTTTATTTTCTATTGCTTTACCTCATGCTGCACGAGATTCCTAAACATGTGCCAGACTTTTGCTCTTCCAGGAAGTGAGTGAGTTCAAACCGAAACTGCATATATGTATATCATTGTCTTTGGACTTATACAACTCGCACCCGTTGCCAAAACTGCACAGTTCGCTGTATGGTCAAGGTTTCAAAAAACACACAATCCCTTGATGGTGTGTGTATGTAGCCCCGAGTGGATTAATTCAGTTTGATCTGATAAATCAAATGCAACCTTTTCATTCTGCATGGCCCTTCATATCACATTACTATCAAGTTACATAACAAAATTACACAAGGTTTTTAAGCAAAGGAAAAGTAGATATATTCCAAAAATAAAATATCCATCCACTTTATTTGGCATCGAGGATCCTAATGTATTGTTGAGTATAACAAAAAGCAAAATTCAATCTAGCTGTGTGTTAAGACAGCAGTGCAAGGGATAACGGGGTGCAAATTCCAATCTGCATCATCTTGTGACTTTGTAGTTCTACATAAAAAGAAACAGTCGGTGAGATCTACCGGAAAAAATAAATAAATAAAATAGAAGGGGAGTTGGGCAGTACTAATATCAAACAAGAAAAATGATACTAGCCAAAACATACCTTCACCCTTTTCAGTAGGTCCTTGGCATTAGCATCAGTATTGAAGTGATCCCGCACTGGCTGCAATGCAGAAGGAATATGAAGTCATTGCGCTGATAAAAATACTATAAAAGGCTGGGATGCCATGCAGACTTCTCCATACATCTCACCAGGGTCCATTCATACAATCCACCTTCTTACGAGAGACCTTTGGAATTGACAAATGCCAAAAACCATGGTCTCGATCGTCAGTTGTATTATAAATTCAAAAAGCAAGTCCAGTACATACATACAGCAATAGATGATGTTTTACGGTTAATTCTAGAGGATGGAAAGAAACTAATCCTTCACCAACGCAAAGCATACAGTTGATCAATTTGATAATTTTTCTTTGCACATGCATACACAAGAAAAAAGAATGAGAAGCTGATTATTCATCCACCCCAAAAGTACAAATTAGATCATCATAAACCAAGTCCTACATGATTCCACCCTGATATGCCATCAGGATACAACAACAAAAAGCCTTCTCCAACTATTTGGGGTGGTGGCTACTAGAATCCTATGTTATTATTCATGTTCATCTAGAACCACAACTTTAAATAAACCACATGCTATCATATACTTTCTAATTATTTCAACCATATTAATTTTGATCTTTCCCTTCTCCTAGCATTACCCTCAATCAGATCATGTCATCCTTTCTCATTGGTGCAGTTATTGACTGTTGTTATACATGGTCAAACCATCTCAATTGATTTTCTTTCGTTTTTATCTCTGAATGCTGCTACTTCAACCATTAAAAGAATGTGTGCTTTTTCTAATTTTATCCCTCCTTATCTAATCAAACATCCTTCTTAACATTTGCATTTCTTCTACACTCATTTGTGAAATATATGGCTGATGAAAAAATATGGCAGTGGGATATACAACGATAATCACCAAAATAAAATCCAAAGACACAAATGAATACAAGTGTTAGACAGCAAATAAATAAGAGCAAGATATGCAATTGGTATGATTAGAAAAGTTTTCAGAGATGAGATTACTGAAAGAATTTTGAGAGGCATAATGTTCTCAGTTTTTCAATAATTGTAACTGGAAAAAGAAAACAGAGAACAGAAATAATCATCCTCGTGTTTACGGGAAAACTGGTCATTTTTTTTAACTAATTTCCTAAAATAATATTTCGACAACAAAAAAACAAGGGGTCGTTTGGTAACATTTATGCTTATGTGTTCTTCATTTCCTATTTCTATTTCTGGGTGTTCTATTTCTACCTGTTTTGTCTAAAACAAGAATCAATGTTTGGTGTGATGTTAGTTTGTTTCTAGAATATTGTAAATAGTAAACAAAAAAACATGTTTGGTAATGTATTTCCGTAAAATAATGAGGATTCACTTCACATAATACAACCACTATCATAAACAACCATAAAAGTATAATGAACATGAGTATAAAGAATAAGATTACTAAAATAAAAAAATCATAGAGATTGAAAACACATACGTGGGTGTGTTTGTGTATGTTAACGAATTTTAAAAATAAAAAATTAAAAGTTTTGAAGGAAAAGTTTCAAAAGCTTAGAATAAAATATTATGTCAAATTAAATGCAGACACAAAAACTCGTGACAATATTTTCTCAACCATACACTGTATTCAAGAAAGTAATGAGGAAGAAACTTACAGTCAAGTCGTAAACAAATAGCAAGGGAAGAAGCACTGTGAGTCTGAAGTGGTCTGTGTGAATTGCTACTTAATTGGGTGTGTATAAATAAATATATATACACAAACACACATGGTATGTGTGTATGTATATATATCTCTGTAACTTATTTGCATGAGGTGGGTTTGGAACATTAAATGCGTCAGTGATATATTTATATGGTTTTGATTTGTCCCAATTTCTAGGATTTGATTTGTCCCAATTTCTAGGGTTTTGATAGTGAGAAAGAGAGGAGAGATGAACTGGCGTCACGAGGAGGTGACGAACCTAGTATTTCTTTAGCCGAGAAGAAGAGAGAGGATGGAATGAGCGGAAAGAGTCTTCTAGTGAGGAGAGGTATAAACGATTGAAATAATGGGTGCATTTAAGTTGGGAACATATTTCCCGTGTTTTGGTGATAAACAGGTAGAAATAACCTTTTTTTTTTTTTTTTTGTTACTTTGGGCCTTTAGGAAACAGAAACATTACCAAACGACCCCCGAGAATTTTATTTTAGTTATTTTCTTTTTTTTCATAACTCCAAGAAAAGAAAACTGTATGTGAAATAATGTCAACCAATTTTAAAAGTTTGAAAGTGTGTCAGGTTGTATATGTTCTGCTCCGGCAAAATTGACAAGGAATTGAAGCACTTGACATGGTAGCGCAGGGAAATCTGTTAGAGCTGTCAAAAACAGTATATTAGGACTGCAGAATGTTGAATAGGTTAGTCATGTGCAAAGGAGCATAAACAAGTCTAGCGGCAATTGGGGATAAAGGAAACTACAAGTAGGAAGACCTTAACATTAAGGCAGTATATGCATATACTGGTTTAACATCAAATAAGTGATTGATTGCTCCCACACAACATGAGGATTCTTTAATCACACCACTTGTCAATTACATGATACTTGTCAGAGACAATAGCTAAAGGATGACAGATTAATCGCAATTATAGTGGTTGCTTTCTAACTAAATTTAAAAGAAAGTAATAAACTCCCTGCAAAAGGGAATGAAGTTATATGCTAAGAATGAAAAAGGAAAAATGTCATGCAAACACACATGCACATACAATATGCACATACATTAAAGAACAGTTGAACACCTTCCTTATTGTTTATTGCTGATTATGAATATATAAATTGCATGCATTCATAGATTGCGTGATTTTGATTGACAGTTTGAAGAGGTCAATGCAAAAACAGTGTTGAAAGATGCTTACCCAAATGCTTCACATTAAGTTGGACAAAGATAATGCAACCGAAGTAACAAGAAGCTTAAATATAAAGCATAAATATATAGAGATCATTAAATTCAGACCAGAAACCCATGGTTATGAAAATTACTACGCACGGGACAGCCAGTTAGAACATAGAAAAGAAGAAAGTGCATACCTGCAATATCTTATTCAATGCTTTTGATAAAGCATTTTTCAAGTCTAGAGGATGCAATTTCCCATTTTCATAATCGGCAACCAGTTCTTCAAAATTGCTGAAAGTCCTGAAAACAAACAGACACATGATGCCATCAACTAAAGCCAGTATAATCAAGATTCTAAAAGAAAGAGAATCTTGAAGCGGATTAACATAGCGCTTTGGAACCTGTAAGAATTGCCAGGCTTTTAACAAATGAGAAAGTAGAGGAAATACTCCTCGCACAGACAGGCTCAGAAAATCTTGAACAAATATGAAATGTAACACAAGGTAAAAAGAACCAAAAAATTTGACAGGGTTAACTCACTTTTGACCACCATTTTCTGCACTGCGCTCAACCTTGAACTCATTAAACCATGGGAAGATAATGTATTTGATGTACTCCAAGCATGGGTTCCCCACAACAACATTCGGCGGACAGTAAGCTTTCTTTATCTTCAAGTTTACTTCAGCCTGTCACATTCATTACAAGGTATGCCATAAGGCCCATAACTATAGCACCTAAACATGGGTAAAAAGGTTGAATTCTAGGGGAAGCTTCTATAAACAGGTAAGTTCAATGCTACATTCGGCTTTCAATAAACAAATACTGTAAATTCCAATTGTGTAGCACCATATGATACCTCTTCATCCTCCATGAAGATGGAAGATGATGGATCACTTTTTGACATCTTCTCTTGCCCTTCATGCAAACCAGGAAGCATGTCTGCAAGTCAAGTCAATATGACTGTAAATAACTGACTATATCAGGATAGCGAACAACTATGAACTCAGGGAAGTAGGAAAGATGACAGATTTATACGATGAGACAATATGATAGGCTTGTTTTTCCTCTTAATATCATCACAATATTCTCTTGCAAGTACATTCACTTTCCGCTGATCCATGCCCAATTGACAGATGTCAGCCTGTTGAGATTGGACAAATTGTATAATTTTACATCATCATCATGCACAACGTATTGAATAGTAAAATAACCTATTATAAATTGAAACTTCCTGTTTATAAGCAAACAAACATAAAATATTAGAAAGCAAATAATGATCATATATTAGCATGGACAAGCTAAAATCAGGGCCTATAAATGAAGAAGGTGGTACTAGTTGTTTCTACAGCTGGAACTAAATAGGAATGGAAGTTAAAAGCCAGTACATAGGATGCTTACAAGGACATGCCAAAATAGTGATTTTAATTTTGCTTATTTTAAAAATAGAAATCCCACATTAGGGTGCATGAGCTAAAAGTTCATTGAGGAAGAGAAATAGAAAAAGGGTTTCAAGTCTAAATCATATTCCTATTGAGGTACGGAAATTTTGAGGATGACATAGTCTTTACTGAAAAAATTGTTCAACAAGATCATAATGATGATGGATGTGGATAATGTTGTTGTGACTATAATCATCAAGAGCAATTGCAAGAGAAACAAGTCAGCTGTGACTATAATCAAGAGCAATTGCAAGAGAAACAAGTAATATTTTAAATAATTGCGGCTTACATCAGCAACCAGTATTAAACTCATATTTATTGGCCTTTATAATAGATGAATTGATAAAACACATACAAAATTATGTTCCATGGTGTAGGCTATCTGGCTATATATAGAAGATAATTTTTGAGTGATGAAACTAAATAAGGATAATTGCTAATTAAGGGTAGGAAGTGTAACTCTAAAATCAAGAGGGTTTAACTGTTTAAGATGAGCTGAACTAAAAATAAATAGAAGAGTATGAGGACTTGAACCCTTGACCTTGTATTTTGGAAGGTGAGTAAATACCACTAGGCTACAACCCTTGATGGTAAAATGAAAAATATAAGTAGACATGTAGTCAAGAGACACCAAAAAGAGAACAATTTTGTACCTAGAGTTAATATTCACATAGAATAAGGAATGGTAGATGATTTTACGCATAGTACTAAGGCATGATGAGTTATAAACGGAGGAATACTTCTACCACATTGTGTGATCAACATATACCTCTAAAATTATAAAGTAAATTATATAGAACAATAACAATACACCGCTGTACAAAATGTTGGGAGGTTAACAAACCACGTGTTCATAAAAATTATCAAAGTACGAATGTTGAGATGGATATAAGACGAGAAAGGATAACGCTAGAACCTATTACATTCATAAAATGGTTGAAGTGTCACCTTTCCAAGATAAAAACAAAAGAAAAATGGTTATAATTGTTTTGTGCAACAGAGACCAATAGCTACACCACGATCACATTAAGAGTAATGGCAAGAGAAGAGAAAGAAGTAAGAACACAATAACATAGGTTTAGATATTAACGAAAGATATGAAAGAGTATGATTTAACTAAAACATAGCAGAATGATGAAACAAGATTCATTTAACCAATCCGAAGCAGTTGGGACAAGGCTCTGTTAAGTTAAGTCAAAAGATATTGTGGACCCAAGAAAGGCTAGACAGCTTCATATAAATCAAATCTGTGTAGCCAAGTAATAGCATGGATCTTAACCGAGGGCTGTTGTATTACTTTATTGGTCCTACTCACAATCTAATCCAGTCTTTCAGAGGTCCTCAGTAAGCTAATTATTAACAATAAATCACACACACAGAGGCCGACTTGCAAAAAGCAAAGAACATAAAAGTCTTACAAGAAGAACTCAAGGACACAATATGAGAAGTAAAATTGATGTTTCAATTATCGCAGCATATGCAGATCTTAAAAGAAATTAGTCTCTCTCTCTCACTCACACACACACAAACACACATACACACACTCATTGCAGTTCAGAGGCAGGCACAATGCTACGTGTAATATTGGAACACAACTTTCCAAAACTTCATAATGCATACCTTTAGGAAAAATATGTCAGCACATTGCATGCAAGGGTACAGAATCTGGGCTGCTGTCAGTTCATCTTGCTCATTGCGACCCATGATCTGAACACACCTGCAAAAGAGAAACATTCCATGTTTGTAAGGGTACCTTTAGTAGTAAATCACAATTCAACAGGAAGTAATCTCCGTCATAAATCTTGAACCTCAATATCCTAGGAAGCTTGTTCCTTCGAGCAATATCCATTACAATGGGCCAGTACTCATGTGCCCGGGAATTAATTTCTTCTGATGACCATAAAAATTCTACTTGACCATTTTCAAGATTTAACCCAACAGCTTTCCATATCTCAATCATATAACGTCCAATCGTTTGGATCTTTTTCAAGTCACCCCCCATTTTGTTGTTTAGCTGTGCAAACCAATCTGCAATCCAGATCTTTACTTTGCAACCAGCAGAAATCAGTTTGTTCACATTAATTATCTTCATAACTCCCTGTTCAGCAATGAAATAAAAGAAGCCATTAATAAACGAATATAAGCAAGTGTACACGTACCCAATTTTCAACATCCATTGTTCAAAGTTCTACATGCAATGTATGGCATTCCCTCACATGACAGCCATATTTAGTACCATTGTGTCACTTTTTAAAATGCACAATCTTAAGAGTCAATTATATGAACATTTAGCACTTCTAAGTCCATTCATGAGTTATTATAGTTAAATATATGTGTATGCTATGCTTAAGGGTTCGTTTGGTTAGCCGGTAATTGATGGTAGAAAGTGAAAGGAAAAGAAAGTGAAGTGAAAGAAAAGAAACTTATGTTTCTATCATGCATTTGGTTAGCATGATTTTTTTGTAAAACTTTTGTGGGAAAATGTTGTTTCATTAGTTTGGTTAGCAAGAAAGTGAAAAGAAAATGATTTATATGCCAAAACTACCCTTATGAATTCAATACTAAGTAAAATACATCACGCAACAAGCATAATAAAAAATATAAATAATTGTTTTATGAATAAAAATATATGTGCGTGCATATATATATATATAGAGGGAGTCCTAATTTAAAGATTCAGAAAATTGTAACTTAATTAGGAGTCCGAATTTAAAGAGTTAGAAAGTTGTAATATAATTAGGAGTCCTAATTTATAAAAAAAAAGTCCGCTCCTTTTGTGAGTCTAAAAAAAAGAAAGAAGAGAAATAACTAACAAGGGTATAATTGGAAACTAACATATAACGATACAATTTTCACGAGAAACTGAAATTTTCGCGTGTTTCATAGAGGAAACATTTTGAGGAAAATGAACTAGTTACGGGAATATCACTTTCCTGAAAATTTTCATTTTCACGCTAACCAAACTACAAAACAATTTAAAAAATTTCTGTTTCTTTTCCTTTCTAGCTAGTTGACAGTTGACACTAACCAAACAAACCCTAAAATATTTTTGATTTTAGCTCCAACCCAAGCCTAAATCCTTGTCTCTTATTTTCCTTGTTATTTCGATATTTCAACAGCAATTACTCGTCTTCAAGGAGATATGTCCCTACATGCTTGCTAGCCTAGTGCAGACAGACCAAGCTACTCTTTTGAATTGAAGACTGTGACATAATTGTAGGCTAGAACATTGTGTACAGGTGCCTTCAGGGGTCTTCAAGGATCGATCTATGTTTGTTGAATATGTAGTAGGTGGGGCTGGTTCAATCATAGACTTCAACAAATTTTGTACCTTCCACGTATGAATTTATTGCTTATGCAAAGCAAAATGACAAATGAGCGGGAAAAAAATGTTGCAAAACTTTATGAAAATTTACAACTGAAGTAAACAAATAATTTTCTGTTACTCGGTTCACATATCTTGATTTAATATTTCATGTTTTGCAAGTCCATGGAAAATGCAGATTCAATTACATTTTTCCAACAATACCTATAAGAAAGATGCCAAGAATTGTGAGTTGAATTAGAGCCCAAGTTGTTAAATCCAGTCAAAATTTTAATATAAACTAGCCTTCCAAGCATGTAGAGATTCAAAAAATGCCAAGATCCCATTTCGGATATTGTTGAACTGATGTGACAAATTCATGATATTCTTTGCTCAATGAGAAAATTATCATGTTTTCAGTTTGGATATGCCAGAACTAAAAAAATTTCCAAGTATTCCCAATTTTGAAAACAAAGTAAAAAGCATAATTATTGAACTTACTTTCTGCTATTTTGCTTTCAAAAATTTGAAAACACGAGGCATTACTAAACACGATTCTACTTTCTATTTCAGCTCCAAGAAACCAAAATCATAATTTTGCTTTTGGTGAAAGTAGAAGTAGGAATTACTTCCTGTTAGTAAACAGACCCAAAATGTATCTCATCAACCCGTTATTGACTATTCTAAATTGACCAACAAATTATCAGAATGATATTGTAACTATCGAACAATAAAAAAAATAATAAATTTAGCCATGTAAAAAATTCTACAAAAAAAGCTTTATCCCAGTAGCATGATTGTAAATCCACTTGAGTTTCATTACATAAATATTTAATGACTGTTAATCCACTCTAGATCCGAGTGGTAATAAAAATCTCCAAAAGGGTTATAAGATTGTTAAGTTCTTAGGAGTTGAGAACAGACCTGAGCGATATGCATTCGACCGGAGGGTTCAAACCCATCATAGCAAATAGGTTGGGACTTCTTGGAGAGAAGGTTAAAGAGCTCATCTTCTTGTATGCACTCCTCTCCTACACTCCTCACAATCTTAAATTTTTCCTCTGCACTCATCCTGTTTCAACAATTGAACACAAACTCACATCACTGATGTTGAATTATATATAGAAATCTGCATATATACACAAATACATAAATAAATGTCTTGAAATATGTGAATAGGATCTTACTGAGTTATGGAGTTCGAGGAAGTGGAAGGGGAAGCTTGATGCTCTGAGGAGGGTACCGATAGGGCCTCCATCTCCTCGGACGGAGGCGTCTGGTCGGCCGCGTCATGCTCCATTCAGATCTCTGTGATGAAACTAGGGTTCGGCGAATCTCTCTCTCCCACTAGTCACTATATTGCTTCGTCTTTCAATCGCAGAATTAGGGATCTAGACAAAAAGTGTGAAAACGGAGTACTGATAGATGAGTGGTTGGTCTGGTCATTTTAATAAAGTGATTCGCCAATACGCCTCCAGGAGAATCAGTCGAACACAATTTATCATCAAAGGCCCAATTAGCCCATTTAAGTCTCAGGCGGACTGGGTTAAAATGATTTATGGGTTATGTTTGGGCTGAGAGTAAAAAAAAAAAAAAAAAAAGGAATAGTTTGTTTTATTTTGTGAGAGGTGAGGACAAAACAGAAATACCTTTGTTATATAAAAACGAGAAAAAAAATAATAATTATAAGCAACTTATACAAGGATAAAAAATTTACTTTTTAAAGGATTAGTAAATCGGACTCAGAGCATCCACAACGGGCTTTTCAAAGCTTGTTTTGGCGAGCAAAATGGGCCAAATGAACTGCAACGGCCTGGCAGAAAATGGGCGAGCCCACATCCGCAGGCTGGTTGGATCGCTGAATACGAGCTCGAACGCGGTTTATTTTTTTGTCCTTTTCCTTTAGCCTGAAGGCTTTTTTTTTTTTTTTTTTAGCTTCAGGCAGCAAACAGTGCCTTTGGCAGCCTGGTTTTTTTTGGGCAAAAACTCAAAAATAGGTTATTTTGAGCTCTTTTTTTAAAAAGTAAAATAATATAAAATTCATTAAATAAAAAATTTATTGTTTAGGCACTGTTTGTCCAAAAAAAATATTTATTTGGGGAAAAAATAAATTAAAAAACCTTTTTTTTTTCCCCCTTAAAATTTGATTTTTTTTAAAAAAAAATTTGCTTTAAATTTTAAATTGCTGCCATAAACAACGCATTTGGCCATTAAGGCACTGTTTGGCTGACACAAACAGTGCCTTAACGGCTATCATTTTTTTTAAAAAAAAAGTTTAAGAAATTCAATTTTCTAAAACTTTTTTTTTTAAAAAAATCATTAAAATTAAAATTTCTTTTTCTTATTCTCATAGGATTTTGTAATCCTTATTTTAATTTATTATTATTATTATTTTTTTTTTGAAAAGCGAGAATTCGAAGAGTTTGATGGAGTGCATGTTTCTGGAGAGCGAAAATTACTGATGTGACTCTTGAAAAAATTGAAGTGGCATTTTTTGATAGCCAAAATCCGGAAAGACTGGTGCAAATAACCTCAATTTGCTCTGGTATTGTCTATTACATCCCGTTGTAATATGTCTCATACTTTAAGTCCATATATATATATATATATGTACTTAAAAAGTTTTTGACAACATAACTTGTTAGAATTTAATGTTTTCTTAAGCTGCTGCCTTACTATACTCAATAAATTTCACCAGTACCATTCCTTGTATTTATTGATGGCATGAATGCTAGCTAACTTTGCCACATTTTTCAATTTTTAAGTTTAAACTTTCCAATTTATCTTCACAATCGAAATCGGTAAAATTAAAACTATCTAATGTGAGAATACAACTTCAATGTAAACAAATCTTTTCATTCTTATCATTCTTTCTCACAAATCAAACTATGCATTAATAAGACCAAAATCAGATCATGGCATTTAAATCATCAATTCATATGTGTAAATTATGATCAGTCAAAGAAATCCTTCTTGCAACTCTCAGCGATGCGCCAATAGCAGCTGAACACCTGGTAGTATGAAAAACAAAAATAAGAGAGAATATATATATATATGCTACCTTTTAATTCTACATGGCCCTTAATATCATCACATTATTATCTCTGATTGCTGCTACTTCAACCATTCAAAGAATGTGTTCTTTTCAAATTTTATCCCTCCTTGTCTTACCACACATCCATTTAACATTTGCATTTCTACTGCACTCATTCACGAAAAATATGGCAGTGGGTATACAACGATAATCACCAAAATGAAATCTAAGGACACGAATGGATACAAGTATTAAACAACAAATAAATAAGAATAGGAGATGTAATTTGCCTGATTGGAATAGTTTTCAGATATGAGATTACTAAAAAGTGTTTGCTGAAAATAGAATTTTGAGAGCATAATGTTTTCAGTTTTTCAGTACTTCTAACTGGAAACAGAAAACAGAACAAAAATAATCATCCTGTGTTTCCAAAAAAACTGATCTTTATTTTTTACTCAATTTCCTAAAATAATATTTTGAGAACAAAAAAAAAAGAAATTTTCAAACAATCCACTTATACATGAGGATTCTTGAATCACACATCCCACTAGTCAGAGACACTAGCTAAGGGATGACAGATTGATTGCAATTATAAAGTAGATTAAAACAAAGTAATAAACTCCCTGCAAATGGAAATGAAATTATATGCTGAGAATGAAAAAGGCAAAATGACCTTCAAACACACATGCACATAAACATATATACACATACATCAAAGAACTGTATGAAGACCTTCCTTATTGTTTATTGCCATTTGCCAATTATGAATAAATCAATGGCTTTCATGCATTCGTAGATTGCATAACTTTGATTGGTCCACCAAGCATTAATAGTATAAGGCCATCTAATAATTTCTAAAAATTAGTGATTAATAGTTTGAATTGGGATTGCACTTATTGGGCTGGGCTACGAATGTTTGGGCTATGTTATCCCACAAGGCCAATTGTTTTTACTCTAAAGTGGGTTGTTGTTCTTTCTTGATTATATAGGAGAAGGCCAGTCCACCAGCAAGAGTTTAGTGGGCCCCTCCACTGGCTGAACCATGTGTAAATATTACTTATAGCTATGACACTTTTACATATAAGTGGTGGTAGCAAAACTTTAGTACTAAATCATTGACGTAATTTGCATATTTACTATATCATAAATCAAGAGTGGCCTTCATTTTGAACCTTTTTATAGGCTAAAATTATATTTTCACCCTTAAAAATTTATTTTATGCACAATTTAACCAAATAAGAACTTTTAGAAATTCTAGAATATTTTCAAATAGCACTTAGAAACTGTTACACTTCACTAGAACTCGGTAATACAACACATAGCCTTCAACGAAGAATAGAAGAACTTAGATCTAGAATTATTCTTATACAGAATATTTTAGAAGTAAGACGACAAAGATTTTAGCTAGGTTTATGAGTAGAATAGAATTTAATAACTTAGACAACTCTATAAAACGATTAGGAAAAAGTCTAGATTATATTAGAACATAAATAGACCAGAATTCTAGTCCAAATAATCTAGATAACAAAATAATATTAGTCGCAATTAAAGACATAAACAATGATATTAAAAATATTATAGAAAATTAAAAAATAACTATATAATATTTAAAATCTTTGAAAACAGATAGTCAAAGACTATTACAATAGTTTTATGAGTACTAGTAATCCTGATTATCTATTAGCTTTAGCCGAACTTTATAAAATTGACAAAGACCCTGTAGGATTTACAAGTTTTAAGACAGGCGTATAATCAACTAATATAAATATTAGACAAAATAACTTTTTAATCCAGTTATTACCCAGTTATCTGAAAAAATTAACAAACTTGAAGAAAAATTAAAAGTAATACAAGAAAGTATTCTTAGAGAATCTTCTAAAGAATTATCTGAACTATTAGATAAAATAAAAGATTTAAAGTTATCAACTAATTCCTTCTCGACTAAAACCACCAAGCGTGTAAATCTTTTACAACCATATAGAGAATGGCCATTGTCCTTAGAAAAGCCAAATAAATAATGAGGGTAGAAGATCTATATGATAATGAACACGATGCTCAAAAATATATCGAAAAAGGAATGAAGAAAATATCTAATAAAATTAATCTTTATTCTAATGATTTATTAAATTTCCAGAGCAAGATATATAATCATCTTAGCCAGCGAAGGATAAGTATAGTAAATAACCAGGTAATTTTAGATCTCATAACTCCAGAGGCTTGTCAAGAGCTGAAAAAAAGTAAATTAAAGCTTATGCATTTAGGTGTAATAATGATCGGAATATTAAGATTAAATAGATCAAAAGTAGGAACCAGAGCACTCGCATATATTTATGATTATTGATGAAATAACCATCAACAAGCACAAATAGCTAGCACTAAAATAGATTTAGCAGCCAACGCAGCTATTATAGGATGTATTTCTAATTTCACGATGACCACTAGAGAATTTAGTAAATATATAAAAAATAGCCATATCCACAAAGGGATATAATATGACAGGACAATATGAAAACTTATTAATTAATACCTTATAAAAAGTTAAATTTAGCATATCAAAATACAACAGCAAACCTCACAGCTAAACTAAAATTTTCTGAGCAAATGACTAATGAAAATGAAAATCTTTAGAAAGTTCATTCTGCAGGTACAAACCAAGTATGCCAATTTATTACCCATTTTCTCTCAAACTTACAATCCTAAGACAACAAGTCGAGCTCTTCCCTGAAGACATAAAAGATCTTATCCTTGAAGAAGCTAAGTCTGATGATTTCAAAGAATGGGTTGATATCCAAAACTACCTCAGAAACAACAGTCCACCCAAAGGAACCCGATACAATTATTATTTCTTCCTATTTATACAAATAGGCAACTACATACCTACCATAGTCCTCTTAGAAATAGATCTTGTACATTATTCTCCTATTGACATTATCAGAAAAACCTGCTTCTCAACAAGAGCCACCAAATGTTACGTAAGTAAACTCTTAGAATTAGGAATGGTCCATAGCATTATCATACCTAAAGACATGCCTTTAGAAGTTTTAAAAGTTTTTAACTTTCCTGACCAATTAAACCGAGCCATCATTTTCGAACAAAAACAAACCCAAAATTACATGTCAGAAAGTCCAATTCTCCTTCAAATCCACAACACTCCTCTAGAATGGGTAAAAAATGGAGCTGTAATTCTCGGACAATATCAAATTTATATTCATTCTGATTCAACGGAAGTCCTGACTCTGACAAGACATATCGATTTTGTAAATAACTTTCATAATAATATTGACCCAGCTACCTTTAACCATTTGATGTACTATAAAGCTTATCGACAGCTTAACCCAAGCTATAACCCTGGTTTTAGACTTTTCGACCATAATGTAAATATAGAAATTTTCATCAAAGCCAAAATTCCCTATGTCA